CCAAAGGAATTCATCGTGGAAGATGTCAGGCTACGTTCGTTCATTCAGTGGCAAAGAAGATACGCCTGGCTGGGATACGTTTTATTCTTTTTTCTCTGTTTTTCTCTGTAATTTAACATTAAGTAAGAATGCTCACACGCACACGCACATATACACAATTACATTAAGTAGTTATATAGGTAGGTTAGATAGGCATAATTTTAATTGTAGGTAGGATAGATAGGAAGCATCCAACACTAATGTAGTTGAATAGGTAGGCAGCGTAAGTTTACCTCTTCTATTTTTTCTCGCACCCGAATTACACGCATTATACACACACACTCTCATAAATACATACATAAACACATATTAGTATTTGAGCGTTATTTTATTTCCATTACACATTCTAATTTATTATTACTAAGGCTTAGAGTAATTTAATTTCATAGGTAGTTAAAAGCAATAATTTAATTCTAGGAACAATCTTGTAATTTAAATTAAATAAACGCTGTAAGTGTATCGAGAGGTAAGTTAGTTATTAAGTTTTACATTATTATTATTAGGTTGGAGCCCAAGGCATTACGTAGGTGGTGGGGTGGGTGCCGAAAGGCCAATGAATTGGGCTCTTGAGTTTTGTAATTTTAGGTAAGCTAGGGCCATAATGTAATGAATAGGTAATTTAAGGCTACGTTGTAACACGCACTCGTTAATAGATTTAGGGTTTAAGCTTTATTATTATTACTAAGTTGGAGCCCAAGGCATTACGTAGGTGGTGGGGTGGGTGCCGATTGGCAAATGAATTGGGCTCTTGAGTTTTTTTGTAATTTTAGGTAAGCTAGGGCTTAATTGTAATGAATAGGTAAGTTGAGGGTACGATAGCCGATAGACTCTGAATTTCGAAGTCTGTTGTCAGAGGTAAGCCTTGGTGGCCAGTGGTGTACCGGCAATGGTTTACTATCCGGACGGCAATGGTTTACTATCCGGACGGCAATGGTTTACTATCTGCACGGTAATGATTTACCATGCGGCACGGCCATAGTCTACTACCCGCACGGCTTCCGGACGGCAAATGGTTTACTATCCGCACGGCAATGGTTTTCTATCCGGTGCCCTGGCTGTCGGTGAACCTCTGTGCAAGGAGGAAGAATGAAAGGGGACTTTCGACTATCGTACCATTAACAATTTAATATAGATTAGTTAAGGTAATTGAATAGGTAGATAGGATTATTTTTATTAAGCAATTTGAGATGCAGGCACCGCTAAGCTTTCTGATGAGAATCTACTCTTTCTCTTTCTTTTTCCATCAACACGGGCTGTGTTTCAACAACAACCTCGAAGAGGACTGGCACCAGTTTTGGAGGAACCGGACCGCATTCAACATTCTGCCTTTGTCGAATGGACGACGGTAAGTTTTTGTTACATTTTGCTTACTTTATTATTTTAAAATTTTATTTATTAGACATTATTTTCATTTTATAATTCAATTTTTTTTGCTTCTAAGGTTCTAACATTAATTTACTACTACGCAAATAAAAAAATTTTGTTTACAGAATGATGAAAGGTGGGCAGTGATGGGAGTCAGCACGTTTTAGATGGTGGTCTCATGATGATTTACTTATGATGATGGTGGTGTAGGAATCATCAGCTCGTTGGCTGTTCTACTGACACTCTGAAGTTCGGATGGTATTTCGTGTGCCGACCAGATGGTGGTGGTCGGTGCAATGGAAAGTACAGTAACGACGATTTTTGAAGTAAGGTTTAGTTTAGTTTTTTATTTTTCTCATTCGTTCATTTTATCACTCAACCTTTTAAATTATTCTTCTATTAATTGATTCGTTAATTCATTCTATTCATTAATTGAATCATTGATTTATTAATTCATTCATTCATTCACTCATTCATTCAACCAATTATTCAATCATTCAGTTAATCATTTATTCGATCGTTCTTTTGTTCCTTGATTTACTAATACGCTATTAAAAAAATGTCTACAGAATGATGAGAGGTGGGCTGTGGTGGGCATCAGCACGTTTCATATGGAGGTCTCATGATGATCGTTCCGATGACAATTCGAAGATAACAACAACGACGGTTTTTGAAGTATGATTTAGTTTCTTTTTTTTATTTTTCTCATTCATTCATTCATTTTATCACTATCTTTCAAATTATTCCTCAGTTACTTTATTCATTGATTCATTCTATTCATTCATTAAATCATTGGTTGATTAATTAGTTAATTTATTCATTCAACCAATCGTTCAATCATTCAGTTAATCATTTATTCGTTCGTTCCTTTGTTTCTTGATTTACTACTTCGCTAATTAATAAAAACTTGTCTACAGAATTATGAGAGGTGGGCTGTGGTGGGCGTCAGCACTTTTCAGATGGTTGTCTCATGATGATCGTTCCGATGACAAATCGAAGATAATGTTACAGGTAAATTTGTTTTTGTCTCATTGTACTTTTGAAAGTACTCGAATTGGAACAAAGATTGAGTGTCATCTCAAAAAGATAAGTTGCCTATTTTTTTCCAATTGCTTGTTTTTTATTTTAGTGAACTAATTTTTTTTTTTCAATTTATTTTTTAGTATCCGGTCAAATTCATTCCAGATGCGTGTCAGATGATGGTCGGTGCAATGGAGGTTCGTCGGTATTGAGTGAAGTTTCTGGAGAGTGCGCGCCCGTACATTTACATACAAACACATCGATACAACACATACATACACAACATCCATTCATTCGGTGTCGTTGTTGCTATGTTTCTCTTCAACTTTATATTTTCTTTACCGTGAACCGGACTTTAATTTAATTCATAGGTAAGTTAGGGACTGAGATGAGTTAAACAATTGTAGGTTGGCTAGGCCTTAACATTAGTTAAAAAGCTTCAAGTAAAATAAAAACGCTAAAATATGTTAAATAAAATACTTAAAACATCTAAAACGAGAAATACAAATTTGTAGGTAAGTGAGTTGAGTCAATGTTTATAAGTAAGCTAGGGCCCTGAGAGTAATTATATTATAGGTAGGTGACTATTATTCTTGCGACTTCTTACTAGTTTTGTGTGGTGTGTTTGTTTTCGCTTCACAACACCCCACCAACAAAACAAACTACATTTCATTCTCGTCGTCGCCTTAAATTGTACCTTTTTGAACAATCTTTTTAATAATGTCTATTTATTTATTCATCAAATGTTGACTGGTTTCTAATTTTTTTAAAATTGGTTATATAATTTTTGGATATTTCTTGATTTACTTTGTATATATGCATGTATAAATTATTTCTGTTTAGTATGTTGATTTAGTCATTATGATATGTTGTGAACTGTTCTTACTAAATGTTCATGTTACGTGGTTTATTATCCTTCGAGAACTACTAAGGAGTGTGTATGATAATAATAATAATGGATAATAATTATTTTTATCGGTCGATATTTTGTTATATTTGTTTATTTAAAATACGAATTTTAAAAAAAAATTGACATTTTAAAATTTTAATTATCCGTCACTTTTTATTTTTGAATGAATTCAAATAAAAGCACTACTGTGTTTTTCTTTCTTTACTAAAATCTCGAAATTGTTTGTAGATCTGTACGGTTAACTGTTTGTTCGAGTTTGAACAGGCCTTGCAAATTTTTTTTTATTTTGATTTTATTTTTGTTTATTTGGTTCATTCAATTTAGTTGATTGATTGATCGGTTGATTGATCGGTTGGTTGATTGATTGACTGACAGACTGGCTGGCTGGCTGACTGACCGACCGACCGACTGACTGATTGTTTGATTGATTTATCTCATAGTATTGTATACATGAGAAAAAATCCGATTAAGCCAACCTACGGCTTCAGTAAGCCACTGTTTTTCACCTGACAAAAGCAATTTCTATATTTATACTGACAAAAATAATTGTGATATGAATATATATTGATTTATTTAAAGCATTATATATACAAAAAAGTGCTATCGTAAGAGTTCTATGAAACCCTGTAAGCCACTGCTGTAAGCCAACGTATGATTTCAGCAGCCAGTTTCTTATGAGCACCAGCAGAATGTAAAATATTCATTGAATATAATGAAGATAGTTGTTCAAATAACAATTTTGATTTATTTAGGCCGTTTATTTCATAAGCAAACCAATTTTTAATATGATCGAATAGTGTAAAAAAAAGGGTGACTATAGTTCAATCCTACTAAGCCAACCTTTTGCTTCAGTAAGCCACCGGATTTCACCGGACCAAAAGCAATTTTTATATTCAAATTAACAAAAATAATTTAATAATACATAATTCTATTAATCATTATTAAAATTAAATAGAATTACTACAATGTTTTAAGCATATTAAATCAAGTAAATATTTCATTTAGCTTGCTCGTTAAAATCCATGCAATTTCGTAAGCCAACAATCCAAGCACGACAAATAGCCCGACCGATAGATCGAATTGATCGATTAGTCCTATTATTCTAGTTATGTGGTTTGGAGTAAGGGGAGACATTACTGAAAATAATTAAAAGTTGAAAAAATTGAGGTTCTTTGCATATCTCTGCTTCAACCCATAAGAAGGTGTTGTATGCTGGTAAATAGTCCTCCCCTTTGTCTTCCCGGTCTTACCTAGTTTTAGCAAACTGGTATTATAGGCTAGACTTCTTAAAAGCAAGATACAGAGTTGCGAAAACGAATTCAAAGCAAAAGCTGAAGAGATTAGAAAAAAAACTAGAGAAAAAATTTAGGAACGACAGAAATAGACAGGTTTTTCACAGATGCAGATGTGAAAAACAATCTGTTCGAGTACCCCTCCTTCAAGTCATTTTAAACATTTTTTTTAAATAAGGCATTTAATACAATCATGCAATCAACCGACAACAGGAAATGAGTATAAATTCTTTTCGTTAGAATCAGAAAAATCCTTTCATAAGAATCCGAAAAATCATGCTGGCTGGGATATTATGGTAGTGAAAGACACCAAGCCATTCCTCGGCTAGAATGCTACACATCTCGTGACTTAAGTTCACTTTTAACGTTTGAATTAAAATTTAGTTTCTTATTGTCTCGAATTACTTCCCAAGCTTTCTTACAAATTTTAGTAATTTTTCGAATTAGGTAAAAATATTCCCTAGAATAAGAAAGAAAGAAAGAGCAACTAAATTTTACATTTCTAAAAGTGAGTATTTTTTAATGTAACCTTAATATTTTATAAATTAACAATTAATTTTAATTTAATTTTATTTTTAATACAGAAAATTAAATTGGCAAATAAAATAACAATCTTTTTATTTTATTTAGACAATTTTGTTATTTGTTGTACATTTTAATTCTATATATTAGATGTGGGTACATTGGTTTGGGTTTACTAATAATGTTATGTTATTTATATTAAATTATATTATTTAAAATTAATTTAATTTTATAATACTAATTTAATGTTGATAATTATATTTTTTTAATTTAAAATTTATTTTGATTTAATGGTTTTTTTTAGTTTTTAGCTTAACGTTAACCTTATTTAACTTTTAGTTTTTACTATGAATGACAGTTTTTGGCTTGAATTAATAAAGTTTTATTATTTAATTTAATATTTTAATTAATCAAATTAAACTAAATATTAAACTTTTAAGACTTAATTTTTTTTTACTTTTCATTTTATCCTTAGTCTTGTTTATATATTGATTAAAATCATTAAATAACGATAAAATAAATAATCTATCAATATTATTAATTAGCTAAGTTTAATTTATTATATAATAATACTTTGTTAGTGCTGTTAGTTAGTGTTAGTGAGTCAGTGCTCTCTTTGAATCATTGATAATGGTAAGTCCAAAATGACCAGACACAGCACAGTACCTTAATACAGGTAACCTGAAATAAATTCAATAATACAATGGTCATCTATTTGTGTCTCAATGAGCAGTTGTGATTAAAAATGATTTTGAAGAACCATGGATGCATTGTTGTTATTTTTTATGAATCCCTTTTACCCTATCCAAACTTCATTTTATTTAATTCCATTCCATTCTTTTTTTGCAGTGTTCAGATGGTAGGTGCATCATTATATTTTAAATGTCATCAGCTGGGAATCCATATGCATTATTTGCATTAGTTCATGATTTACATACAAGTGTTGTTCTTTTTAGACTTTAAAATGAAGTACCAAACATATCACAAGTTTGTCCTTGTTTGTGACTTGCTATTCTTTGGGCTGAATCAATAATGTTCTCTTTCTTCCTGTGCATTTATTTTGTTTGAAATTTATTCCAGAACTAAATCAAAATTGTCGGTGAAGTGATATGATTCCAAGTGTTTAATAATTACACATGTTTATATATAGGCTAGTGGAACAAAGAGAGATGAAGACTGAACAGGTAAACAACAAATGGCACACAAATTTATTTTTACTTTTTTATTATTGACACTTCATTGCATTGCAGAAATCCCTGTGTCACTTGAAAATGCAAAGTGATTAATCAAACTTTTTTAATGTTGCTTTTTGTGCAATGCAGAATGCATGTATGTACATTATGAATGATTGGGAGTTAGTTGTTTGGAGAACATGGAGTGTACTGTGATGCACCAGACTAAGACTAACTTGATAATATACTTTTCATGAAAATTTAGGTTGATGTTACAAAGTTGTATTTAAAATAATGGTGAGAAATAGTTAAAAAAAATTTATTAACAAAACATCCACTGATGGCGTGAATTTGAACACATTTTCTTCTATTTTTTCCTTCCTGAACTGTAAAGTGGTAAATTGCTTTCAATATATAAGGACTGGCAGGTCAAACATAAAACATGAACATCCATTTTTTTTAAATTGTGGTGAAATGGATGGTCATATTTGTTTGGTGTTGTTGACTTTTAAATTGGATATATGGAGATGACCATTGTTGCACCATATTTTCCTTCTGGCACATGAAGTGCAGCCATTTCTTTGACCATTTCTTTGAGTTGTCCCAACACAAAACTTTTTGAGTTGTCCCATCACTAAAATATGTTAATATGAAGTATTCACCGTTCTAGAGAATATCACAATTGACTATTGTACAAGAACACAAAAATAGTTGGAGTTTATAAAAAAGGTATTCAATAGAAAATGATCTTTGATTCCAGTGAGGTTGCTCTTAGCAACTGTTTTTTCCAATTAGAGGAAGGATAAGGTTAACCAATAACTCAATATATAAATTTAACAATTTGCACTCCTTTGAAAATAACTTGGCAGAGGCGTTAATAAATCTTCATACAATACAATACAAATTAAAAAAATGCTTTAGAGTTTTATAGATGATTTTGGTCAAGATACGACAATTTTAGTAAAAGATATCTAGGGTTTTTTATCACTGAGATTTTATTTAGTCTTCCCAATCTGTGTAGCTAACTTTTTCAGGGATTTTTCATTGATGTAGTAGTTATTAAAAAAGAATTCCATAAAATATTATGTTTATTTATTTATTAAAACAAATAAACCAATTGAATTTGTAAGCTTTTAATTTTGATTATTTTTTTCATCAGATGAGTATCTCAAAAATAAAAATATTATTATATTACATGGATAGGTTAATAAATATAATGTTAAATAGACAGATAACTATCCTCTGATATTTCAGATTACTTAGACATTCAAGTTGAAATATGGCTGTAGGAAACAAAGATGATGAATATGATTATCTTTTCAAAGGTTCGTTTACATTTTCTTCATTAAAACGAATCAATTAACAAGACTAATAACTGTTTCTTTTCATAAATTTATTTAATCTATGTTAATGATTAATTAATTAAATTATGCACACATATAAATAACATGAATGAGTTTTAGATGCTTTAAAAAAGTTGACGAACACGAATTAAACAGTTGTCTTGATAGGAGATTCAGGAGTAGGTAAAAGTAATCTATTGTCTCGATTCACAAGGAATGAGTTCAATCTAGAGAGCAAAACAACAATTGGAGTTGAATTTGCTACAAGGTTGGCAGATTAGTGACTGCTTTCTAATTTCTTGTAAACTTGTAAATATTGTTGTGCAATATAATGATATTTTTATTTTTATCTTTGAAATACTAATTATTTTTTGAGTTTTGATTATTCATTGTTGAGGTTTTTAAGTTTTACAGGGTCTCTTTTCAATAGCTTTCAATTATTTTAATTAATTTCAATGATAATTAATGGACAGATAAATATGAACTTAAATTTATGTGTGCATTGCATGCAGGAGTATAACAGTGGAGAAGAAGAGGATCAAAGCTCAGATATGGGACACAGCAGGCCAGGAACGTTACAGAGCCATCACGAGCGCGTTAGTTCACACAAATTTCTTTGCTTTCTCAATTTAAATATAAGCATTCAATGTAGTTTTCATTCTACATGTGGCTCATCATGAACGAATTTCGTCATTGAAATTGAACTTTGCAGATATTACAGAGGAGCCCTGGGCGCTTTGCTGGTGTACGACATAACGAAACATCTGACGTACGAGAATGTGGAGAGATGGCTGAAGGAGCTGAAGGACCACGCAGACGAGAACATCGTCATCATGCTGGTCGGCAACAAGAGTGACCTGAAACATTTGAGGGCTGTCCCTACAGATGAGGCTAAACGTTTTGCAGGTCACATTTTTTGTTTCTGCATTCATTTTAACTCTGATGCTGCTGAGCCTATTTTTATTGAATTCGTTAAATAAATTTGTATCCAAGTTCTTTGAGCTTGAGGATGCGTCTTCAGTAACAAATGTTTAAAGTTGATGTTGAAGTTAAAGAGACATGCCTTTAATTTTCAGAGCTGAATAACTGAAGATATTAGATAAGATGAAGATTGGAATGTAATCACTGATATGAAAAATGTTTATTTTAATTATTTCAGAAAGAAACAACCTATCATTCATTGAGACCTCAGCTCTGGATTCCTCGAACGTTGATGATTCCTTCAAACACATTCTTACTGGTACTGACTTCATCTTTCGTTCTATTTATTTTGGATAAATTACTTTCAGATTTTAATATTTTTTTCATTTGAATAATAGATAATTCACCACTGACTAAATTGATGCTCATTGTTTTATCCAGCTATTTATAAGATGCTCTGTGAAAAGCAGATGAATGACCAAACTAGTGACACAATCATGGAAACTTACAGCGCCCACAAAGTGTCTCTGCCTTACAACCAGAGTAATAACACTAAAAAATCGTGCTGTTGATCATGACTCACCCCTATTTTTTGTCTACTATTATATGCATACTGTGCATATATCTATCTACTCTATACAACTACATGCATTATTCATTATTTATTCTTTTTTGATCATTTTAATGACATTATTTAGCGTTACATTTCATTTCAATCATGACATGTACTAGCATCATCAAGAAATTCCAAGTAATTTATAGTTGACAATCGTTTGATTCGTTGGACATAACATGTTGCACTTTGGAAGTTCTCATCATGAGACACGTGTTTGCTTAAAATCGTATTCAATGTGCAATCTTTAATTTATAAGTATTATTGATATTTGTTTTTTGTGTTTTTTTAATTGTTATACCAAATTTTTTAGAATACAGTATTTTTGCAGTATTATCTTATCTTATTGTCCATGAAATATTGTTTCCTATCAAGATGTTGACTTCGTTATGGTTTTAACGCTGCTTTACGATTGTTATTTGTCGGTCAAATTCTTAAGTATTACCAGCGATAATTAAGTTAATCAAAATGTCTTTTATATTTTTGGATAAATGTTTTAGTCGAGGTTTACTGATGTGAACGAATTTATTTTGTATTGCGTATATTTTGTTGTTGCATGATTTTTTGTATTTCGTTTAACATTGCTATGTTGAAAGATGTACTTATCTTTAATTTTATTCGTATTGTAATAAAATGATCTTTTGATAAGTTAAGACATTTTAAGTTTAATATTCAGTGCACAAATATCGACGTGTTTTCCTAGAATGCACAAGTCAGTTCAGCATATCCATATTTACGTTTAGATTATTTCAAGTTGGTTTTCTCTTAAATCAAATGGCATTATTTATTTTTATGCCGGAATTAATTTTTTTCCAAATATTGCTTTTAGTGTTTTCAAATGTTATTTTCGTTATGATACACAGTCAGAATTGTATTGAAGCACTTGCACTAACGGAAGTACTGCCAGCGCTGCGATCAAGTTAAATGATCCTTGGATATGCATCAGCGTGGAGGAAAAAAAATGTCCAAATTGCCGATCACGAATGGTTATTGTATTACTTCGAACTGCCTATCACAATTAAATTGCGATTGCCTTCTTTATGAATATTTTTATCATTAAATTATTTTTATTAAACTGATGTACCGATTGGTTCTTTATGTTTGGTTATGAATTACAATTTATTTAACAAAATTATACTTAAAACCTGATATAATAAATTACGAATATGTTACGAATTGACATTTTTGTATTTCACATATTTCAGTGAACATGCATCAACTTCAGAATGAATAATTTTCAGATACAGGGTATCGTATATTTTATACAACTTGTATGATTTATATTTAATTTTGATCACACTTTTGCAAGACAACTTTCTTTAATATTCCTATGAATCAGAAAGATTCTGAAACCTTTGAACGAATAACGTTGAGGGAATATTATTGAGATAATTTAAAACGTAAATAGAAGCACTCATGTCACACAATGAATTACACATGAAAATGAATAAAAATGAAGCAATCGACGTTTAATAGTCAAATTTTCACCTAAATTTTCCATGATTCTGCCCTAATTACACCTAAATTTTCCATGATTCTGTCCTAATTGCAGTGGATGGGTGATGTTGCTGCTCTTGCTTTTGATAACCTCGTATGTTTCGCAAATCAACGAAATCAAAATTCACCATCAGCAAGTTTCTAGATGGGAAGCTTACAATATGGCTAGATTTAAATATCGTAAATGTTTTATCCATATAATTAGAATAAATTTATCTATATTTTGCGAATATCCTTCTAATAACAGTTTTGTTTGCCCATACCAAATTTTGGTATTCCGTAACTTCGTTTCTCTTCAAATGTGTCAAACTTTGTAAATTGTAGCCCTAACATTTTCAAATGGATTCTTTTAAATTTGTCGTACTTTTTTCTTTTTAGCTTATATAAAATTCCAAAATTATTAATTGATTCAATTTTTTTAGTTTTTTCAATTTTTTAACAAAAACAAATTTATAAAATGAGTTTAAAAGTCATCGAAACTTCAGAGCCAGATGTGACTGAAAATAGTTCAGAACAGCAGACTAGCGAAGAACGGGAGCACGCAACCATTTCCGCCAACAAAATAAAATTGAAATTTTCCAACAGCAAGTTTCCAATATTCTGGATTGATGGATTTCCTAAAAATTCCGTGATACAAGCTGTGGTACTCTGCAACTGGGATAATATTTATGGACCCAAGGTTCGAAATATGTGGGTCATCGATGATATACCAACCAGAAAGAATGTTTCTTTTATTTCGTCTGCTGATGTTGCTAATGAAACCGATATGATTTCATCTGAAGATCGCTGTTTGGATTGGGATACTTTGAGTTTTATTGCGAGGCAGATGTTGTGCAGTGAAATCATGAAGGATCCATGTGATTCCTTCCTGGAAAATAAATTCTATGACTCTCCTCAAAAAAAACTAGCACTTGCTGCAATTGTGTTTGGTGCCATGAGCCAAACTGATATGAGTATACATTCGTTATGTGTCGTGCCTTCTTACAATCGTTTGAATGAATTTCACAAATGGAAAGATGTCTGCTTTGAGTGGCTAACTAACTGTGTTCTTCAACTAAGGATTACTTTGGCAACAGTTAGTTTATGTCTCTATATTAAAGGTCGTTATATTTTTAGAAAATTTTTATGGAATTTTTGATTAAGCAGCACTATTGCATTCCATTGCATTCTTTCCATATTTACTTGGATGAATCCGTGGCTTTTTTTTTATGCCACAGATTTATTATACTTCATGGAGGGAATTGTCTATTTGCAGGCAAATATTGGTTATTTTATATAATGACATACAATTGAATCTAATCAATAAAATGTTAGAATCATGTATTTGCTTTTGTTTCAACTTTTCATACTAAAATTCCATGACCAAATGTTTTTGCTACATTTGTTGCTCTTTTTTTTCCAACTAGGTTTTTTATTCAGAATGAACATTATTATATGTTGGTTTAATATAAATTGTTTTAGAATGCTACTGCCGGCTTCACAATAATAAAAAAGAACTTGATAAGGCTGGTGCATATCATGGAAAAGGAAGAGCAGGCAGGCAATTTCACGGTAAATTTTTTCTTTTTCAAATCTTTCTCCTGTTTTATCTATGTTATATAAATAAATCACTTTTGGTGCTTTGATTTTGTATGAGAAGTCTTGTTAATTTTGTGGCTGACTTTCATTACATTCAGTATATTTATTAGTATGTTGTTTATATTAAGAAATCACTCTTGTAGCATAGGTCTGTATATTTTAATTTTACTCATTTAAAAATTTTTTGTTCTGAAGTATTTTTTTGGTCTGCGTTTTTCTAATTACTTATTTCTAGTTGAAATATTATTTATTTTCATTACATTTTTACTTGATTAATTGAAAACAAAAATATTAGTGTTAATATTAGAAATTTTGTTGAAAACTCATATTTCTCAAGGTCAAAGAAACATTTTTAAATCATCTGAATCACGTAAGATCTGCTGATAAACCGCCGACGATGATGATGAGGAACAAATCAAAATCTCTATCAAACACTCCAACACGATATCCAGCTGAGAGGCACACAACATCAGAAACCACAAATACTCGAGTCACATCCCAGCATAACATGACAACAACAACAACAACAAAAACGACATTATCGTCAACAGTGGCATCATTTTTACCAACATTATCCACAGCAACTTCAACACAATCAGCAGCATCAACATTAACCTCCGAACAATTATTCAATACAACCATCTCCATGACCTCAGATGCGTTGGCATCAGTACAACTATCATCAACATCACCCCAGCTAAAATCATCATCAACAGTGATGACGACATCAACGACAACAACTCCATCATCATCTACAACACCAAAAACAAATCGTTCAACTTCAACAGTACCATTTGGAAAGATATTGATATCAGATCTGGAGTTCTTTCACAACAGCCTTGTAGCTCACTTGTCTCAATGTCATAACAGTGTTGTGATAGGAACTGATGTAGATAGGGTTAACGAGGTCTGCCATTTGTTTCATCATTCTGTCATCTACGATGATGTTGCCAGTGTATTCATTTCATCATCATTCATCATCATCATTTGTCATCATTTTGTTACATTTATTTTCATAGCATCGTTCTTATTATCTCCGTCATATATAAGGATGATATTTTGAAAACTGTAACACCCACATTGGAATAAATCATGAAATTCTTGCACATGTATATTATTGCTTTAACTGCTTTGCACAATGTGTTTCAACCTAAATGTGCACTTTATGTTCAAATATTCTGGATGTAAATGTTTAGTCAACTGAGCAACTTCAAATTTGCGTTCCATTATCATCATGTTGAAATTTAGATTTAATTTTTTAACCTCCTGCCAACTGAACAAACAGATGATAAAAGCCTTGGCTCTTTTCACACTGCCACACGATGCCCACAGATGTAAACTTCTGCAGCCAGCAATCAACAACAACAACAGTAGCAACAACATCTCTACTCAAAATCCATGCACTGCACAGAAAACTTGTGACACATATCACGAAGATCTGCTCGTTGACATTGACTTTATTGATGTGTATAATGCTAGGCTGGACAAGCACAAATTGCAAAAAGTCACGTCTGCCTATGCCCCTGAACTTCGTGTTCAAGGTTTATTGAAGGTTGTTTCTTGTTATTTCGATAGAAATTTATTATTGATGCTTATATTAAAAGTTAATTGCTATTTTTTTTACCATAGTGGTTGTTTTTTTTATTTTTGTCTTTTATGTCTGTAAAGTAATTAACAAAACAGTTGCAATTAAATTGTCATTAGATGAATGTTGCAGCTGTCACTTGATGAGACCATCCTTATATTATGTGTTGTGCTTTGATGAACATATTAGTTAATTCTTCAAAAATTTTTGAAACATGTTCAAATACAAATAAAACTCGTGATCTATGTGGTATTTTTATTATTTTAAAACATCGTCGCTATGTTAGATAGAGTATACAATAAAAAAAAGTACATACAACAAGATGAAATTAGATAATAGATACAAAGAGATACAATTAGATACAACTTTTAATAATTCTTCTTGAGTAAAATGATCTTTTTAGAAATGATGTGATCATTAACAGAACAAGTCTTGAATGTTTGTTAAAGTAAACAGTTACAGAGTTTGAGAGATAAGATTAGATTCTTAACATGATTTATTTAAATGTGTTTCAATACACCTGAACCATTTAAAGTGATGCATTTTTTCAATTTTTTATTACAAATTTTTAAAGAATATTATTATTAAATGGCTAAAAATAAAAGAACATGTCTAAGTGTAAAACATGCATTTATACAAAACATTCTATATGGTAATTGTGTTTCCATTGTTTACACTCACGCCAATAAGTTCATGGCAAACAAATTGAAGAGGAGTGTATAATTTTACATAAGCAAATACCAAGTGCATAGTTTGATGAGGAGTTTATGTGATGGTATGTAGGGATATTTTTATTTACTGATTCAATATATCAATATAAAATTATTAAAAATTGTTAGTTTAATGTGATTAAATTGTTTGTTACAAATGCTAACAGTCAGATGTAAACATTCATCTGTTGTTGGACAATGTGATGTTCAGTATGAGGCCAACTGCTCTTATTGATGTTGATACCAAAGAGGTTTTATGCTGTTTTTTCCTTCTTTGTTTGTCTGTCTGTTTGTTTGTCTGTCAGTCTGTCGTGCTGACTGCCTGTGTCTGTCTGTTTGTCTGTCTGATTTTGTTGTCTATTTTGTTTGTTCAGAACGTCATTGTAGTCAGTTGCTACCATACTGCCCAGTGTATCATAACCTTTTACCAGACAGCTATCACTACTGACCATCATCTTATCACAGGAAATCTTTTTAACTATCACATAACACATCACATAAATGTATGTATGCCTATATATGTATGTATCCATGTGTGTTTATATGATATAATTATACTTTCATACATTGTATGTAGCATATACTTGATTATTTTTCAGTCAAAATAACAAAAATTTTTTGTAAACTGATATCATGATATATAATTTATCATTCATTGAATGGAATTTTAAATGGATCACCTGAAGGTGATGTTGATTTGTTGGACTGAGCAATATGATGATATGAGGCACAAGTTCATCACAAACAATCTTCACAAGCTTTGGAATGAATGTCCACCCGAACAGTTACAGATGAGGTTGGTTGTATGCCCGTTTCCTTATGTGTGTGCTGCGTGCTGCATATGTGTGTGCGTTTGTGTGTGCGTGTGGCTTTGTCTGCATGCGTTTATGTGTGCATGTCTGTGCAGTCATGAGATTTACATTGAATGTATGCTATCTCATGTTTGTCAGAGACGTCTTCAAATCAGTGAAGGTCAGCAAGTCTCTTGTCCATCCATTTTTGCAAGAAGTTAGTTAGCTTTGTTTGTTCTGTGCAGCTTGTTTGCATTTTTTTTTCAAGTTGTATACAACATGCTTAGAAAGATTTGTTGACGTTGGATGACGGCCTGGTTTACTCTTGCTACTTGTGTTTTCTGCACAAGTCCTCCTATCCTCATCATCAAACAAAAACTGTTCAAATGATGCTTAAATTGATTATGTTTCTTTGCGGTTTGTTTTTGTTAAAAAGTTTTTATGTAGTCTTGTTCACTGTGATCGGACATTTTTGCCAGGCTTTAAAGTGAGGATGACGATTCATGTGAATATTTGTTACAAGAAATCAAAAAATTACCTTTTTGTCAAATACAGTTGGGTTTTAATCACTCAATAGAGATGGACATGAAAACAAAACAAATATTGAACTGATTGAATAATATGCAACACATGTATTCGGTCAAGCTAGTTGTTTTTAAGTTAACTGTTATTTAAGTATATAGAAGAACATACGAATATTTAATTATTTAACTAGCTGAATAAACATGCAACATGTATTCTACATGTGATTAGTTGTGCACACTTCCATGTCACCTGGTAAGACCTCGAGTGAACAACTTCATGAAACAACTGCATCGGCGAGCTCTCGCCTTCGTTCAATATGTCGAGAGTAGAAGGTGGGTGGGTTGTCTTTTTTCTTATTGATTCATTTTCATCCTTTGTTCATCTTTCGTCATTGTGTTTTGTCTGTATGGTACGTTACATATAGCCTGTTCTTTACATGTAAACTATCACTTGAAACAATTTTATTTGTAAAGTTTCACAATTTTATTAAATGAATTTGTTGTGTTGACTCTATAAAGTTTTTTTAGCTGTGCAAGTGCATCACTAAACATTTAAAGTGATTTGCTTGTTTGCACTGTATATTGTTTTCCCTCTTAGAACCGTGTAGTTTGCTTGTGTTTATTGATTTGTTTGTTCATTTACGAGTAAATAAGTATTTAAAAATCTTATTTGGTTTGTTTATTGCGTCTGAGCTGTGTTATTCATTTGAGAGCGTGAGAGTGAACTTTGCATGAATGCAATGCAGGCAGCCTACCTCAACGACGACAGCAAGCAACAACGCAGCGGCAAATTTGAAGTCCAGACTGTCAATTCTAAAGAAACCGTCCACAACAGCCACATCGTCTTCCTCTTCCTCCTTCTCATCATCTCACTCCACCGTCGTCAACAATTCATCAGGCAGGAAAGCTGGAAGTGGCGTGCAGAGTAGCGCAGTGGATGGAGTATCTTTGGTAACATTGAGGGAACATCTGGGATTGAACCTGGATTGGGATTATCACGTGATTTCCTCATTTGCCGAAATCGTTCATCAAGGTGTGCTCTCTAGTCTTGTGTGATTCGGGCATTTGTTTCTGTTTCTGTATCTGTGTGTGTGTGTGCGTGCGTGCGTGTGCATGTGTTGTATTGTATTGTGTGTACGTACCCACTCAAACAAAAAGATACACGCAGCACAACAAATTGTGATGTGACTGTATGATAGTGTGATGCAATCGTGTTGCAATGTAAATATAGAATGGCGATCTATATAATGAGATTTTTAGTATGTATAAAATGGTGATTGCAATTACGTTAGTAATTGAATCTGGGATTAATGATGTTAAATGGCATAATATACTGTTTGAATGCATGCAGTGAATTGTTACTGCATTTGTAAAATGAATTGATGTGATAATGTGATTTGATGCATTGCACATGGATGCATTGTGCACGGATCAGACAAACTCATTTAGCGTCGTTTATTTAGTCCAAAGTTATTATTTCGTAATTGGTTTTGCCATTTGTAATTCTGCTGAATATGCATGATGAGGTGTTCACTTTTATGATGGTATGCTCAATCTTCAGTTGTGTTGAATAATTTAGTAGTTATCAGTCAGTTGATTATGAATTAATTAGGCTCTTGTCGTCTACAGAACTGGTTTTATTAATGGTAATTTTAAGGCTGTGTTTGATTTAATCTACATACATTAATCATTTAATTAACTTTAATGTCTAATTAATTAATTAATTAATTTTAAAATGATTCATAAGTCTTTATTGCATCAATATTATCGATTTTAAATACTCTTTGACCATGACCTTTTTAGATTTTTTTTTAATTTTTTGACATTACAACACCATTGATAGCAAAATGTGAAAGATTTACTTTTAATGCAGTTGGTCAAGTGGTCAATCTTTCATTTTTGTCAATATGTGATTTTATTTAATATAACCTCTTATAATTTAATATATTCACAGCCATCTTGTTTGAGTGTTAACAGTTCTCTCATGTTTTCTAATAGTCTCTTCTAATAAATTTTATTGTTTCAAATTTTTGTTTAAGTCCTAGTTTGTCATTTTTCTAAATATCCATTAGAACATTCATGTTTTTCAACTTTTTTTTATTTCTTTTTGTTTTTAAACTTTTCACAAAAATAAAATATTTTTAATTCAGTTTTAATCAAAATAATTGCAATTGGTACAATCTGATGTTGACTTTTTATATTTTTCTAAATAATATTTTTTTATATTTTTATTTCTTTCGAGTTGTTTGAGCAATTTTAATTTAAAGTAAAATGGATTCTTGATATGTAAATGTATATACAATCCCTACCCTAATCCTTCTCAACTTTTAATTAATTAATAATTTTCAGTCATTTTTCATTTAGGCCATTTATAGATAGATGAATAATGATTTTATGATTTCATTTTACGTTTTACTACATTTTTACATTTGTATTCTCGTTCCATTATTTTTTGCAAACATAATGTTTGTAATAATGTCAAACAACATTATAATTATTTATCGGTGTCTATTATTATATATTTTGTTGTTATTTATAATTATAATTATTTTGTTGTTACAATAGTACTAAAACAAGTAGTAATATTAATGATAATTAAAATTATTTAACTGCTACTTATTTCATTTTTATCAATCATTAGTACATTTGCAGAAATATTGAATTGCATTTTACAGACTTGAGATTGCATTTCTAAATGAAACTACTTTATTAATTTATATCCAACAAAAGATCATGGCTGGCTGGTTGTCAAGCACTAGATAATTATTTGTTGTCCACTTCATTCTTGCTTCAGATCTTCAGAATGTTAGGAATTTTTTGGCACTTATCCTAAATTTTCTTCCAGTTTGTTCCATCCCTTTCTTTACTTATTTCAATCACGGTTGGAAAATACCCAGTCAGGTTTAAATCTCGGTGTTAGTTTAAAATTTAAACCTTGCCTTTACTAAATTCAAAATTTGCACTTTTTCAATTCATTTTCTTTTCCTGGTTTTACCTTTACCCTAATTCTGTCTAGTGTAGATAAACATATGTCTGTCTATCCATTTTCATGTTTGTATAACATGTTTTCATCCACCACGTTTCAATTAGATTACACGACTATATGTGTAATCAATGAGGAATAGATGTAATTTTTAGCTCTGTCCGTATTTTAAAATTGAAGCACTATTTTTTATGTCTTTTAATATGGTTTTAATTCGTTTTTATCTTATTATTATTATTATTATTATATATTTTAATCTCAATTGAAATATTTAAAAATTAGTTGGTCAAATCTGTCGTTAGATTTAATGATAGACAAAACACTTCACATGGTACTTTCGTAGTGAAATTAATTGAACATTCCATTTTCACGATGTTTCAACGACAGATTGGAACATTTTTTGATCAATTAATAACCTTAAGTAGCTAAAAACTTTCAGTTTAAATGTTTTCCAACAGTTTTAAACACTTCTTTCGATTCAAGATTTAGAATGTTCTTAATTTTGGTTATTACGTATTCCAATTTTATAAAATCTATATCTAAAGCATTTAATCTACGCGGTTCTCTTTTATTAGTTTTTTAGACTTTCAATTTTTCGGTTAATATTTTGTATCATAATTTATTAGCATTAAGTACTCAGTTCATCCGACCTGTTTGCATTTTGTTGACCTTTTTAACTTAATTTAGAATTTATTTATCTTATATTTAAGCAAAATATGCCTTCCATGTTGCGTTACATTTTATGAAGCATCACACATCATAATTTATAGCTATAAATTATTTACTGTACACTGTTTCGTTACGTTTCAGTACTATTTTTTCCGATTTTCGTGTTATTTTTTCTTTATAAAAGTCAGTTTATTCAAACTTCTGTTTACTTGTCTGTCACGTGCATACTTTATATTTATTGATTTTTTTTTTTATTTTTTTAAAATACGATTTTTTGATTGACTTATTACATTAGAATAATTTCTTAATATTTGTAAGATTACAACAAGAACAACAACATTGAATGGAATTGCTCATCTATTTCGAGTCATATTATAACTTATATACTACCGAGCACTTTTTAACGTTTTTTTGTTAAATTATTATTTCACAAGGCACTTTTCATTAATGTTTGCTACATATTTTACATTTTTCAGTTTGCCACGTTTCTCTGTAACAGTCCGTTTTGCATCATAATAACATTTAAACATAGTTTATTTAAATTTTATTTATGGTTTTAATTCCTTTTTAAATATTAATATCAACAGCATGTACGAAAATATTAATTCACTCCATTATGTATGTATGATGTACAAAAGCGCGATGAAAAGTATTTACAATTGAATATGATTTTAGATGAGAAATAAAAGACATATAGATTAAATAAATGATTCCAATTGTCTGATATATGCTCGTGCCAGTTTTAGAAATATCGATATCTAATCCGATGCGTTTCGATTTTAAGCTCGTGCTAGCGCCCTTGATAATCTCTGATCATTGTTTCGTCAATCGTATCGTACGGATTGCTTGAACCGGCTGAATTTCTTTGGCTAATGTTTTTGCTTGGTTCTTGGCTGCGTTCAGTGTGAATAAGGCTAACGTTATGAATAGGAAGATGAAAGTTTCGAGATGTTATATTTGAGATGCTGTCGTTATTGCAGTGGTTATTTATATTGTTACTGTTGGCAAACGTGTTGGTAGGATGTTTGGACGAAATTCTCGGTGGAATAGCTGGAAGGTATGTCGGGGATGAGAATGATGTCGATGGTGACGATAATGTCGAAAATGGTTGAGGACTCGATAGGTACATTCTGCTATGCTGTATAGGTGCGCTCGTAGGCATGTTTGGTACTGCTTGATAATAATCACTGGTGATGTTTTCAAACGTATTCTGTCCGTTAGCTCCGCTATTAGAATTTGTCATTGTCATCAAGCCATTCAGAAATCTCCTGTTCAGGATATAACTTGATTCGTTGTCAATTCTTTTGAGAACGCCAACGGAGTCGTGCCTTGGTACGTAAACTGGATCATATTCGTGAGGCTGTGAGATTCGGTTAACGTGTGGTGAAATAGGGGGAGGCTGACGAGTTATAGAGTTTTCTAAAAACTTTTTTGAGATGAAAATTCCGTTATTAGGTGGATCTGAACATGTTTCTGCGTTTGAATCGGCCAGATGATGTCGATTTGATGCTATGGAAAAAAATATTTTAGCTTGTTTAAGCGTGTTATTATTGTGATGTGAAGAAGCATCTGATGGATCTGCAATTGATTCTTCTGGTACATTGTAACCAGGATTTATCTTTTTTGTTGAATTCTCAAAATTTGAGAGACGTAACTGAGTAGTGTTGGTTGTTGGTAGTGGGCTTACATCCTTTGACGTTCTATGAGTCTCTTCAGCATTTGACTCGTTTGGTTGTTCGTGTTCATCCACGTTGCGTTGGCTTACTAACAAATCCAACAACTCGTCATAATTTCTTTTCGGAGTGGACAAACTGGTCAGAAATTTATCCGGTTTATTAGAACATCCAATTACAAAATTGTCGTTTCCCTGTTTTTTAGAAATGTCCTGACATTTCGAACTTGAATTTGAGGGTGTTTCATTCAAAAGTTTCCAACTATAACCCAAGTTTTCACTCTTTCCACTATTTGAACATGATTGAGTTTTAGGTTCTAATCCAATTAGTAATAAATTTTGTTTTTTTGTTTGATAATCTGCAAATAAAATCAATTTTTTAAATAATTAAAGAATGAAGAAGGTATATAAATTCGTAATTATTCTCTCGACGGCTATAGACCCAGATAAAATACAACAAATGTTGTTTGTGAGAAGCAGTAACGACTTATTCAATTAAACTTTATAAACGGTTGTCGCGTCAACAATGCTTCATTTTATCTACAGAATTTCTACATTTCTGGTTTGAACGAAATAATGCTTTCACTGTTATTGTTAAACCTGGTCTTGTCGCAAAATATTCAAAAGGTGCTTCTTTTACATTTTAATAATAAAATTTATTTGAATACTTAATAAGTGGTTAAGGTTAGATTTTGGAAACCGAAGAACAGTTGTGATTTTACTAAATGTCCGGATAAATATTTAGTTCACTAATTTTATTGGGTGTCTTGTAGACTAGATTAGTGAATTAGAATTTTTCGAAACAATGAATTTTTAAATACGATAAGCAAACCTCCTGTGTGACCATCAACGTTCTGTTCAGATTTCTGGTTATCTAGCCTAGAAATTTTAAGTTTATTAAGTAGTTTCGTTAAATTTCAAAAAAGCATAGTTTATTGACCTTTCTTTTTAGCATTAAACTAATACAAGAAAAATAACAATAACTATAATTAAATATAAATTTATCAACATTTGAAAGAAAAAATAGTTAAGCTATGTTTTTGGAAAAATTCGAACGTATTGACGAAAGCACTTGCCTCATAACTCCAGCTTTTCTCTTCCTGCATTTGCTGATAAGCTGAATTACACCAACAAGGAAGAATGTGAGAACGACGAGAAAAAAAATGATCAGCGTGATGTGCAGCATCCTTGCATGCTGTATTGGCTCAACTGGTTGAAATTAATAAAATAATTCAGATATTTATTTATCGAAATTACAAAATTGAGTGAAAGGTACTCTAGCGTTAGGGTGCCCCATTGTGCTCTAATACATCTGTAAACAAATTTGAATTAACTATTTTGTCCAATTTTACATGATTTTGCGTTTAAGCATGATAGTATACAAATTACAGAAGATCTGTTTGATTAACAGAAGAGTCAAATAAAAAAAATTTAAACAAAAATTATATTGGAGCACTGCAGACAAAGATGAAGGTTGTTCATTTTTTTGATAAGAAAAGTTTAAGCACAGTCTACATAAGTTAACAAATTAAAAATTTGCCAACCTGGTTTTATAATTTTTAACTGATCTTATGAATTTAAATTTTCATTACATTAACCTAAATTTACGTCAATTTCAACTTTTGCCGTATTGTCAAAGAAAACTGCTGAACGCTTGCTTAGTTCTTAAATAGTGGCTTGAATTCATTAGAAAAGTTCATACCGATTTTGTTATATTCACAAAATTAGCATTCAGATCACACGCTCTGCGTACAATGATTTGAGTTTAGAAGTTTAAATTTTAATAATTTTTAGCGAAAATCTGGAATATTTTAGTAAATTCAGTTTTATAATTTATTTAATGTATCCAAGATCTCTTGTTTAATCGTATTAACTTGTTATTTGAATGAAAAATTACATACTTGCATCATGGACATCAAAAAAAATTTTCGTTGTCAGATTATTTTCGTTTAATAGAATTGGTAAGTCCATATTAATAAACACAGTAAAATTTTCGACCAATTAATATATTTTCCTGCAAATAATCTTGATTAACTAATCTAAATTTTTTATTGTTTTTACCATTAAACTGCACTGAACACCATTTGGGATTGGATAACATTTCAAAAACCTAAGTCATTCAGCAGGATATATTATTCAATAAAGTTATAGCGTCATTTTACATACAAACAAGACACATTAACAACACATACTTGTGAATAAAAGCTACTACATACCTAACTGTCTACCTACCTATCTATTCATTCAAAATGCGCTGCCGCAATCACAAACCACTCAGCAGCTCTGAATGCCTCAGCTATTTTTAATTACACTCGCTGATTAGATTAGTAAAGCTGTTGTTTCTTCTTATTTTTGTATTCACGAAATTGAAAAATTTAGTTGAAAATTCAAACTGTCAGTTGTCTTATTTGATGTCATTTTTATAAAAAAAAATGTTTAACTTCCTTAGCAGTCAACCTTTGTAATAAAAATTCTTTAAATACAATTTTTATAAAATTAGTAAGGTATTAAAATAAAGAAAAAAAAGTAAAATGTAACAGTAGAATGTATCACATTTTATAATATATCAAACGTCATTGCCTATTTCTTAAAAAAATATTTCCTACAAGGATGAAAAAAAATTAATTTCACTTTATTTACAGTACACGCGATGACATTTAAACATGATTAAGTCATTTTCTAGTGGTTAAGGTCGCCTGGAGCTGTTTCGTTTAGCGGGTGATGCGTCGTTTAGCATGTATTCATATACGATGTTTTTGGCGTATTTTTGAATCCTCTGAACTTTGGAAGGGCGTATAATTGACCTTTAACCTTTTTTATTTCAGATAATCGGATGTCTGTTGCATATCGTATGAAGAGATTGCAATTATCTATTCATTAGAGATGGAGGCACGCTCATAATTTAAGTCAAAGGCATTTATATGATAATAACATTTAATTTTATGAAGACGACATACTGAATGCTAGAATAAATAAGATTTATTTATAAATAAATAATATTTATTTATCAATTATTAATAAATAATATTTATTTATTTATAAATAAATAAACGATAATATGCTTGTTTTAGCATTCAGTATGTCGCTTTCCTAAAAATAAATAACTTAATCAAGCAGCTATCAAATGTTTCAACAAAAAATTCTGATCAATCCTCTCAAGTTAACTCCATATATGCATATAGAATATGCGTATAGAATATACCAGTCAATTTAACAGAGCGATCTATTGTCGTCACATTTCAACAGCCCTGGTAAACGATATGCGTTCAATTTTAATAGCTTGTTTTAGAACTTCATGACTCAAAGACTTGTAGCGTCTGGTTTCCACAATTACTATTATTAACTTGTTATAACTTTAATGTGAATGAAGGTTTGTTTAGTTCACGATATGAACAACTAACCCTCCACTGACCACTTATGAATACTCAAGTCAGCTCTTGACCTGTTAAACAATCATAAAGTGCTTTTGAGTCGTACACGAGTTATAGTATTACGTAATTTTCTATTTAAGCATAATGGATAACTTCCTTACAATTAAAATTTAAAAACAAATACAGCTAACGAACACAAAAAATCTGTTGTCAAACAATTACAGAACTGGATTATTTTATTCGCGACAACATAAACAGATTATGTCGTTATGAAAGGAAAACCGGTGTGAAAACAAAATAAAAATAAGTTTTTGTTAAGTTTATGCCGATGATAAACTGTTGGTAGAATTCCAAACCAAACGTTGAAACTACTTATTCAAGCTGCACCGCACTTGACCAAAACTTTGATCTGAAAGCGTTTTCATAATTGTATTTTTTATTTTAGCTCTCAATAAACTTCCATACTCAGATTATTTGTGGGCTCAGTTCTAATAGGAAGTGAGATTCAATTTTCAATTGCTACAGGTTTTACTCCTTGAAGAACAACGTTCACGCTTGCTTAGGTTCGCCAATAAAAAGATATAGTTGTCAATCTATTAATACAGCGCTTCTCAACCTTTTAAGATTCAAGGACCACTTAAAACTTTGCTAACTAGCGCACCTGAAATTTATATAGATATAATTATTATTTCATATAACGACGTAACAGCTACACATAGTTAGTAATTATAACATAGTTCTTAGTATAACTTTTAGACTTAGAGAACTAGTTGCCACACTTGACTATAGGTGTATTGAAATTGTTATTTAACATTATTTATTATATACTTTAATAAATGTTTTAACTTCAAATTAAAAAGTATAATGTTCGTTTTACATTGATGTTTGCATACAGCGTATCTCACGGCGTATCTGGCGTACCATCAATTTTTATGTCAAATATGAAACAGATTGTAACTGCATCTTTTGCATCACTTGCTAACAATAATGAATAATAATAAACAGGTGGTCATAGCCTATCCAAACGAGGCGTAATGTTCATCTTTTTATTTAAAAAAATCTTGCACATCACACTTTGCTCGCATACCACCAGGCAAATGTGCGCGGACCACGGGTTAAGAACCGCTGTATTAATAAATGACTAAGACGAACGTTGAAAATGGTAACTCGTTCTGTAGCATCTTTTAGAGCAATCAACTATAAACATTTGACGATGGCGAATAATCGACAATCTACACATTTTACCATGTATCACACATATTTTATCTGGTAAGCGAGGATCTCTTTCCAATCGAATTCAAATTCAACCAGAATTTAATCATTACACTAATTCGTTTCGAAGAAGAAAGTGAAAGAGAAAAAAAATGACGCATGAACCATGAATAAAAAAAAATTATTGTACAAGTAAAAAATTGCAACAGTCGTAAATTTGTACACATTTTATTATTGATACTCAGATGGTTTTGATAGAATTTCAGTTGCAATCTCATCAAATTGTCGTACTGTGATGTTGAACTTCTTCATAAAGGTGTTGTGCATATTTGTTTGGTTCAACTTTCTCCTTAATCCTTCATCTTTCTTGGAGACTCTGAAAAAGTTAAATTCATCTAATTTATATTCATATCCTAAAAAGATCGAAAATCATTGTCCAGCAATTAAAGAATTAAAACACAAATAATTAAGAAGCGACGAGTAAACCAAAGAAACTAACACGTGCAAGAGAATGAGGCCAGCCACCATCCATTCCAGTGGCTTCATGATGATGTTCGTGCTGGAGAAGCTGTCGGTTGTTTTAAAGAAATTCCAAATTACGTTTTATAACATACATAAGATAACTACAGATGTATTTGCAATGCTAAAAGAAAACACGAGGTAGATATTAATTAATGCAAAACGATTTCTAGCAAATAAATACAAGAAGATAAGCGTGAATTATGATCCATCAAAATTGTGAATAAAAAAAAAACATAATTAAGAAACTTACAAATAAGATAAACGTGAATTATGGTCAATTGAAACGTCGATAAAGAAAATGATATTAAGAAACTTATACAAACTTGAAAGTTAGTACGAGGGATCTCACACTGGTCATGACTTGGCTTAGGTTCACTTTCAATATTTCGCTGTACTTCTTCAGTCTGTGTGTCGAAATATACATAATAAATTGTAATTAGTTATAATAAATTGTAATAAATTATAAACCATTATAAAAATTTGTGATCGGTTGGAATCTTCTGAAAGTTAAAAAACAACATGGAAGACGGCCTTAATCAAAAGAATGAACAACATCAAATACACACAATATCAGCAACACAAGAAAACCCACTACACACACACACCACACATACACAAATACCAGCATACACAACTAAACAAAATCATACACATGCAACTACACAAGATCAACACAGACACAACAAAAAAAACGTACACAGGTTCAAGTTTCTCTAGTACGACACCTCTTCTAATTAACATGATGTCTTTGTGGTCTGTTGCCGGTAGTACGAGGACCTGACCATCACTTTTATTGGTAGAAACCTGTGTGGAATTATCATTATAATTATATAATTCTTATTATAATAATATAATTCTTATTATAATAATATAATTCTTATTATAATAATATAATTATTATGTTCCAAAAAAATGTTTGTGTGGTGATGTTGAATGTGATGATTGTTTTGACATGATTTCATGATGGTATGAGGAAGAGAATCTTGAGGAAGAGACACAAAAACTGATAAAAAGATAAAGATAACTTATTAAACTGTTGAAGGAAGTAAACTAACTTCGTCAGCGTCATCCGTTTCCATTTCCTCGTTGAATAAATAAGTACTCTCCGACCTCCACTCTAACATGTAATTGTGCACTTTTTTGAGCAAATGTTCATCACACTCATTCGTCGTTGTCACTGATGCTGATGTAGTTGTTGCTATTGAAGATGCTGACGATGATGCTGCCGCTGATGACGACGATGATGAAATAGTGGTCGCTTCTCCTGCTTCTGACGTCTTAGATGACGCCATCGGTGGCAGCTCCCAATCTGCTACAAAAAATAAAAAAACTGCATTTTAATATTGAGTTTCAATTTAACAGACAAATAAACTGAACAAATTAGAATCATTGTAGCGCATACACAAGAACACATGCACTTACAGAAGTACACATGCACTCGAACAAAATCAGTTCAAACAAACCTTGCAATATCACAGTCTGTCGTGCTTCTATTTTACGTTTTTGAACTACATTCGGTTTGGGTGGAATCTTTTTATTATTCTCTTCATTGTCATCATCGTCATAGTTGAAGCCATCATAATCATCTCTATTAAAGTTGTTATCATTTCTGACGTCATCATCATCGTCGAGGTCATCATCGTCGTCGTCGACGTCATCATCATGTGCGGAGTTCAATTTTTTTATTTCATTAGCGAGACTGCGACCTGGTGGCTGAAGAATGACGTCACCCAAGCCACTGAAATTTTGGTGTTCACTTGTTTTAATACATTGTAGTACATTCAATAATTTAATAAATTTAAATAATTTTATAATTGAATAAATATGACAAGTGGAAACAAAACGCCAGATGCAAAATACATCCGTCAACAATGACGACAGAAGCACTTACTCAGATATATTGAATTTGGAATGATCCTTGAGAAAAGAAAATTTGGTGGCATTTTTTGAACGTTCCAACAATGGCTCGGCTGATATTTGTTTTCTCAGATGCTTCGAATATAAAAAACATTTGTTGCTGCAGAATTTCTGGAGGGGGAATAGCGAAAAATTATTTATGGAACTGAATTATGAAGCTATACAGACTATAAAAAAGTTATAAAAATAGATGCATGAATTGAATAATGAAACTAAATGACAAATTAGAACTAATGAAAGAATAATTAAAAAATAAACAAATAACATAAACAATGATAACTTACTTTCCTCTCCTCTATGTTGTAAACAGTTGAGGTCTTTTGATATATATGATATTTCTTCTTAGGCACCTTCAAACAAATCAAATTTTTAATGAAACAAAAAATTTATTAAATTAAATTTATTAAATTTAATTAAAAATTCAACAAAACCAAGTGTAACAAAAATATAATTGTGAAATGGCTCAGCATAAATACAAACACATTAGCGAGCAACCAACAAACCAATCAATTGCACGAGGCAAAACGATCAACCAATGGATGGACTCACCTCAATAAGGTCAGCTGGACATAGAGGATATCCACAAAATGAAGAAATGGTTCTTTCCTCTATCACGTCATCATACTGCTGAACGAATAACAACTGCAGCTGAAAAATATATATAGTGTTAATTAAAAAATTTAATTTAATTTAAACACTTTAAAGATCAATTAAATTAAAAATTATCCTAAAGAATATATATTAAAAGTACATTATGATTGTTTGTAAACATGGACGATACCATAGGAGTACCTATCTCACGTTTTACATATATATATATATATATATATATATATATATATATGTGTGTGTGTGTGTGTGTGTGTGTGTATGACAGAATATGTGTCCACACCAACCATAGAACTAAGTTGATCTTCAGTGATGTGTTGATTAATGGACAAGAACTCCACAAACGAGTGACCTTTCATCTCTAATTCTTTCTTCATCTTCAACCTCTCCTTCATCGCTTCAATTTTCTTCTGCCTGGAATGAAAAAATCAAGAAATAATAATTTAAAATTTCAGCAGTTGGAGTTTGACTTACTTATATGATATAGGATATATACTATATATGATATATATATAGATAGATATATGATATATACTTATATGATATATGATATAAGTTATATCTATATTTAATAACTACATTCATTATGGAAAAACTAAAAGTCTGCTCTGGATGTTAAATGGATATACCGTAACCTAACCTAACCCTTTTTTAACCACTATTTAATCAATATGAATAATAATGAAAAATTTTTATAATTATAAAGAATTTGATTACAATTGTAAAATATTTAATTTTTAATATCTTTTACAAAGGACAGATTTTTGATTTGACCACATAAACACCTCTATTAATAACATGACTGACACAGTTAACACAAAAAATTATAAATTTTTAATTATAACACACAAAAATTATAAATAAAAAATTAAATAAATAAATAATGTACCTCTCAGCAGCAACAGCAGGATGCGCAATTTTATTTTGTGATGAGATCAGCATTTTTTTCAGCTGGAGTTTGACTTGATTTTAATTCCAATTGATTGCTCAACTGAAAAAAGTTTAAATTTAATATTTTTTAATGTTAATGATTATCAAATCTTTGTCATTTCTATTTCTAGGTATTCTATTCTATTATTAATTATTTCCCACTAGCTTCCTTCAGCAAAAATATTTTATTAAAAATAACAAATAAACTGAATGACAATGGAATGAAATGATTGATTGCGAAAATCAGCTAATGAGATCTGATCAATCACAATTAGTAATGCTACACAGCTGATTTTAAGCTGATCTGACAAGATGATATTATAAGTTATATGAAAATTATAAATTATAGAGCGATATTTCCGCTACGTTCAACAGCGCTCATCAATGAAACAGAACTTCATATTTTAAATTTAAAGATTAGAAATTTTTTTTAATCTTAATGAAAGAACTGAAACTAACTAAAACTAAAGAAATTAAAAAATTAGTAAATAAAATAAAATAGTCAACTCACCAAGCAAGACCAAGACTTATGGAAAACACAAGTTTGACAAATCACTTTTATCAACCTTCCGATATGATCTCAATTGTGATTTTAAAAACTAATTTATCGCATTTGAAGAATTCTTTAATAAAACCCCTCCAAATATATATATAGCATACCGGCATACGGTAACACCATAGAACAGTTAATAAAATTATGTAATTTTACAACACCATTAAACATAACTATTTTAACTATAAATAAAAGTCTTTGGATTGCGTACAATTTTTTTTATTCTGTTTACATTTAATTACATTAATTATTCTATGTATATTTTAAAGTCTCAATGGCTCGAAGCTCTTTGTTAAATGTAAAACAATATGACCACTTTTGACGTGAAGCTAAAAAAATGGCACAAAAATGGTTCCATATTTCAAGACAAGTTGGTTTTATTTTATTTTCATTTGTAAAGTGCATCTTGTTATAAAAATTATAAAGTCTCTCTACAATCTCTCATCAAAAAACTAATCCGCTTCAACTATCTACCCTCATCATATCCGACCGTCACTCAGATATTCAACACACTCGATTCAAGACTGTTCAAGAAAGTAGAAAATAACAACAACCACGTCATCCATCCTCAAATAAAACCAATTAAAACTACAACGTACAACCTTCGTCAGCGCAAACATAACTATCGAGTCGTCGCCCAATCTACAAAATACCAGGAAATGACTTTCATCACAAGACACCTCAAACATATTAATACTCGTTAAAACTTTATCGTTCACAGAACTCACCAAGTCATCATCTAGTCTGTTAATTTGCGTTTTTGTGCCATTACTTCATTTTAAATTTTATAGTCAATTTCTTTTCTTTTATTTATTTTATTATTATTTATTATATTCTATTTAATTTTTCACGTTTCAACATTTTTCTTTCTCCGTTTTTGTATTTATATGCTGTAACAGTTTCTGCGTCCGTCAGATCCTGATTTTTAAAGAATAATAAAAAAAAGTGAAATAATTGATTTATATCTTTTAAGAGAAAGTCGGAAAGCTATCTCCATAATTAATTTTGTAACAACGAAAAGATCGACGTTTTATTGAATTTTAAATTTCTTCAAAACTTAGGTTTTTTCATTACGACTTTCGAAATAATGATAAATTATATATTTTTTAGTTATTACGCAAATGTCAGAAAGTCATTTAATTTACTTGTTATAGAGATATACATATAGGACCGGTATTACGATAAAAGTTAATTAATTGACTCGACATTTGTAAATTCATTTACAACATTCATGTTTACTGAAAATTTTAAATTTAAGAATGACAATGTTAACAACAATTATAAGTGTATCAAAAAAAAAGAAGAGATTCAACATATGAGAATATAATGACTTTTTATAGCGTTTTTTACGCGCGTGATCTTAAAGGTTTTGCATGTATATTTCCAGTTCTCTGTAACAAAATTGACTTTAATGATAGCTACAAGGAAATGGAAACAGCAAGCATTGATCCAACGCAGGAAAATTTCTGATCTTCCTGAAATTCATCAAAGACTATCCAAAGATGTATTGTGGATTCTTCTATGAGCTTTAATTTGTCGTCGTAATTGTATGTGTGGTGATGGTATAGTTGCAGTTGTTAAAGACTGCATTGAATCTTCCAAAGGTGTTTTCTTGATCCGTCGACGAACTTTCAATAGTCGTCGTAATTGTTGGCACGATGATGTTGTTGCTGTCGATGTTGATGTCGAACATGTTGACAAAGTTGCTGGCGCTGCTGCTGCTGGCGCTGAGATCATTGGTGGCAACTCCCAATCTGTTATTAAATAAAAAATTGCTCTTTATTTTTGATTTTCTATTTATAACGGGCAAATGAGCTCAATAAATCAGAACCACCTTAGCAAATAACAATCACTACAACTAAACTAATCATAACAAAATATGGCACATACACAAGAACACATGCACTCACAAAAGTACACATGCATTTACACAAGAACATTTCAAACAAACTTTGCAGCATCACTGTGCGTCTTGTTTCCGTTTTCTTCTTTAGCTCCGGGTTTCTTTTTGGCAAAATTTTTTTTAATTTATCTTCATCATCATCATCATAATCGAAGCCATTGTAATCGTCGCATCTATTCATGCTGTAATTATTTCTGTAACCATCATTATCATAGTCGTCGTCACCATTGTGATCATCGTGCTCCCTGAGACTCATTTTTTTAATTTTATCAGCGAGACTGTCACCTGGTGGCTTTTGTATGATTTCAGATTTTTCGAAGTTGGACTGATTCCTGAGGTAGTCAAATTTCCTGACATTCATGATGCGATCTATCAATGGGTCTGCTGATATCTGTTTCCTCAGATGCTTTGAAGATAGGAAACACTGGTTGCCGCAAAATTTCTAGAAAAAGGAATGAGAGATTATTTAAAATACCAAATTATGAAACTAGATAATAAGTTTAAATGTATAAATGAATTGTAAAATAGGTTATATAAAATGAATGAACTATATAATGAAACTAAATGACAAGGTCTAATAAAAATACAGTGATGAAAACCAAAAAGTGCATTTTTACTTTTCTTTCCTCTGAGACATTGACGGTTGAGGTTCTTTGAAATATGGGATTTTTCTTTCTTGGTACCTTCAAACAAAACAAATATTGAAAGTAAGAACAAGTTATTGAAAATAAAGATAAAATCAATTTTTACAAGAATATAATTGTGAAAAAAATTGAAAAAGCTCAAAATCAATACATTCAAAACATTAGCTCAATTATCTAAAGCAAACTCACCACAATAAGTTTAGCTGGACATAGAGGATATCCACAAAATGCAGAATTGGCTCTTTCCCGAATCGCATCATCGTACTGGTGAACAAATAACAACTGCAGCTAGAGTGAAAAGATTATAATGTTAATTCTAAGATTTTAAAGAACAGTTAAATTAAATATTATTCCAAAGAATATATATATTTGTGTACCAAAATAAATTGTCTACACTAACCATAGTGCTGAGTTCATCTTCAGTGACATGTTGATTCACGGACAGGAACAAAACAAATGTGCCAGCTTTTGTCTCCAATTCCTTTTTCATCATTTCATTCTTTTTTTGCCTGTAATGGAAGAGTCAAAAACCACTGATAATTTTAGACTTTAGTTTAGTTAGATTACACACATATAACTTAATTAATCAGTAACCAAAATTATACTATATAATACAAATTATTAAATAAAAAATATACCTCTCATCAGCAGCCCCATGATGCAGAATTTTATTTTGTGATGAAATCATTATTTGCTGTTGAGTTTTGAATTGCAGTTGATTGTATAACTGACTCGATATTATATCAGTTGTGACCTCAAAGACTAACTTATAGCGTTTGTGAAATTCAAGTAAACCTCCTCCAATATATAGCATAGCGTAACCGACTTTGTAACTTTACAACATCGAATACCATAGAATAGTCAACAAAGCTCCTTTGTAAATCAAAAAGCTTCCGTAGCCAAAGTAAACTTTGTTAACTTTTTTGTTGGACGGACACGTGAATGATTAAGAAATAATTGAATAATGATTAATTTTTTTGTAAAAACCTAATTGTAGAATTTTTCTTTTAAAATAACCTTTTTATAAATAAAAATTTTATAAAGGTTCTGTAGAGTTATATAACACATTCATGAATATCGTGAAAGTGGATACCCCATGCATCTGCATGATCGTGGACATATGACGGACACTTATCTACAACTTTTAAAAGTTTTTTATTACTCACATGAATACTCTAAATATTTATTATATTATTTGAATATATGTTTATTAACATAAGAATCAATTATCACTTTCACGGTAAACAATTTTTTTTATTCTTTTAAATTGTAACATATAATTTAATTTGTTAATTCTAATTAAGTTACAATCAAAGTCGCCGTAAAAACAAAGATTAACTTTTATTCTAATTATGTTACAATCAAAGTCGCTGTAAAAGCAAAGACACAATGACGGAACAATTTAAATTGTGCAAATCAACAAATTTTAATATTTATTTTATTAAAACATTGAATTATAAAAAAAGGACAAAAAATTTTATTCAAACGCAACGAGATCTCGCGATGTATGTGACGAATGGATTTACATGTGTTCGTGCGTATCAGGCTAACCAAACTGTCCGAATTGGTGTTGTCGGGATATTCTAACTCGTTGAAAATGCCTTTGGCTTTTTTTCCAACGCGTGAAGAAGAGCAGAGCTTCACTTGTCAGCCTTCATTTCTGCGGAATGCTTTTTTTCATTTCGCGAATTGCTCTTCTTCCAACGATGGTCAAGAGTTCGTTTATCCGTAGGTTCAAGCTTTCTTATAGATTAACGCAACTGCTTCCATCGCAAACTTTGTTGAACGTTTATTTTAATGCTAACATTAATAGGAAAAATACACTAGTTCAAATAAGTACATAAATCACATTTACCACTTCACCTCGAACCTCAACTGTCGTCGTGTTTTTAGCATAGACACAATTTTACAACCTTTCCAAAGATTACAAATATATCATAGATAAATGATTATTCAAATAACAAATAATATTGCGCTATTCTATCATTCCCGCGGTTAGAATGTTTTTCGGTTTCTTTTTTAACTCGTGCTCACAAATATCTCAATTCACTTTAATGAAGCTTATCAATCTTTCCTATATTATCTCACTTGTGATCTCAATGACTAACCTATTGCATTTGAAAAATTCATGCAGACCTCCATTAGTTATATAGCATATCCGACAATGGATAGAATTTTACAACGCCAACGAGTGTTCTCTAGAAGGTTCTCTCGTTCATTGTTATATGTAAAACATTACAATTAGTTTTACCATGAAGCCTAATGATTTCATTAGTTCAACCTATCAATGAATCAATCAATGAATGAGTCAATCAATCAATCAGTTTGACGTTCCTCTTCTGTGATGTTCAACAGCGCTCTTCAATGAATTTTACAAACAAATAGGTCTTGATATTTGCTCTGAACTTGGCAAGTAACTTTTATAATTTTTATTATTTCGAATTGACATATTGTTATACCCGTTGTACTAGTCGAATTGCGCTGTATAATTATTTTTAATTATTTGTTATTTTTGTTATCTTATTTGTCATCTTTGTAGAACTTTGGATTAGTGAACGATTCATTGGTTCAAGGTTTTATTGTTGTTGGCATTGAAATTAACGTTTAAACAAGTTTGTGATTTAAGCAGTTGTGTTTATCAGAATTTACGAACCTACTGAATACCGATAACTTGACGATAGTAATAAATTATCACATTCACAATATATTTTATTCTTTAAAAGTTGTTATATATAATTTAAATTTTGTGAATTAGGGAATCAAATGATCATGACTTGATAAATTAATTAATTAATAAATTATTGTTGTTTTTTGATTAACAAAAGAAAACTTTTTTATTAATTTTCTACCTCCTTCTCTGACTACTTCTCCATCACTTACGAAGTTCAGAGCGGATCTCAAGACCCATCCATCTGTTTGCAAAATTCATTGAGCTGTTGAACATCGCGGAAATAGCGCTGTTTACAAACTAATTTATTGATTGATTGAAAAAAATAATATGGTGTAATCTGTAATGATTAAGGCTCATGGTACGCTGTTTCAGTAATCGGATTTGAATGAAGAGAGTGAGATAGAGATAGAGAGAGACAGTGTGTGTGGTGTGTGAGTGAGTGTGTGTGTGTGTGCAGCGCCAGATCTAGAGGGGCTCCAAGTTTTGAGTGTTATTTGTGTGCTAAAAGTCAGTAAAACTCTTTTTTTTAACTGGAAAAGTAGTGTTTTTTAAACGAAAAATGAGCATTTTATAAGCCAAAAAGTAGTTATTCAAATTTTGACCACATTGTCAGAAATGTTGATCCCCGTTAGTTTTCAATTCAAGAACCAATCATTCAGATATTCGTAAAGCCGATTTTTTTAAATATTTAAAACATTTTTATAAGAAGCAATGGATATTATTGTTAGACAGTAGAGTTTTAAGGTTATATTGAAAAAATATTTTAACTAACTTTGATTTTATTTCAGTAAATTTGGAAAAAGCGAAACAGTTTCTAATTTTCTAAAACATCATTTGATTGTTCAATGTTGTAATTAATTAATAATGAATCAATTAGGGGGTATTGCAAGAGGGCCTCTACATCTCTGCTGAATCCGGCCCTGGCTCACTAGGTAGAGAAATAGTTTCTTCGTCTTTGGATGGCTTTCTGTTCACTAAGCATGATATTTAATATGTTTTATTATTTTTCTAATTTTAATTAATTTTTCTTTATTTATTTTTATTATTATTTGTTTTCATTCATACAACAATTAAATATTTCAGCATTATATAAATACATTTATGAAGAAGTTAACGTTTAGTAGGCTATAGAGATCAATCAGCAAATTGTTTTAGTTTGATAGAATTTTATGGGAAGAAACGACGAAACAAAAATGATTGAACTCTGGAATAAGTAAGCATTTATAGAAAAATAACAACAATAAAAATAATAATTGCTACTACTATTTATAGAAAATTAAGAGAAGACTACGCTGGCTCGGACCGTATGCCAGATGAAAGAATTCCTAAAGATGTCTTTTAAGTCAAAGAGGTAAGGGATAAAAAAGCAATCGGTCGTCCAAAATTAACCTACAGAGATGACTGTAAGCGACGAAACATCAGGACTTCAGACATGGATGAAGAACTGTGAGAAGAAATTGCTCAGTATCAAACAGCATAGAGACAGAGTGTTCGAGATGGTATTTTGGTGGAAAAATTTAAGAGATCTGAAGCTGCCTCCGAAAGGCATAAAAGAAGAGAAGCATCGCCGCCATTTGTCAATCCTTCAGAAGAATCCTATTGTTGTCCAATCTATTGTAACTCAAGAATTGGTCTGTTCAGTCGCAGAAGATCATGCAATAAATGAAGAGGAATCATAAAGAGTGACTCATTGTCTTTTGAGTCATGAGGGAGCCAAATAATAGACAATTTTTTCATATAAAATGATAATTACAAAAATATTGAAAAAGATTGTTAGTTAATTTATTTGGATGAAAAGCCCCACTTTATAATTTAACATAACATTGTGAAACATCACGCCTGCGTTATGTTATGGGATGGTGAACATGTACTGATATTATTAGTTTAAAAATTTCTATTACACAAGTATATTATGTGTAATGTATGGCAGACAAACATGCATGCACTTCATAATTACATTAAAAACGTTTGAATTTCCAATTCACATACAATGTTGTATATTGTGAGTTAATACATGAACGTATGTATGTAATGCACCATACACGAAGTCGAGATGAATGCAAATGCAAAAGCGCAACATGGCTGTTTACATGTTGTAATATAAAATGGATGTTGTTTGTTTCCTATGCAATTGGTTAAGAATGTTTTCTATTTAACTTTGCCTATTCGTTTTCCTTGAGAAGCCAACAGCATTGCAAACAATTGCTGTTCGATAAAAATCGCTCTACATAGAGTAATCTCGTTCTCTTTTATTTGTACATTATACTGTCATCGTTTATAATAGACGTAAAAGTTTCACGAGCGGGTTTATGTGTATATGATAGGTATCAACTTTTTATGTTTATATCTCTTTGTACAAAAAAACTTCAATCAAATTAAAATAAATAAACATTACATTTGAATTACATTTGAATTAACTTTATATTAGGATTGGAAATTCTTTTTTATCCTAATAGAAATTTTTAATATCTTAATTTTAATTTTTTCATTTTACCCAAAAAAGATAAAACCAGAGTCGAGATGATACTGAATGAGTTATTTTGATATTAAAAAACGCTTAATTACAACATTTCAATAAATGATAAACGTTAAACACTTGTAACAAATTGCCCAAAAGTATCAAAACCAAATTAGCAAATTACGTTTCTCTAACCGAATTTTCCATCCAGTTGAAAACCAGCCAAGTTTTTTGTAGCTCCTTAGGATACACAGTTCATCAAAGCAAGTTAATTTTATTTCATTTTTACAATTATTTTAAACAAATATTTGCTCGTAAAAAGTTAATGACTTTGTCGTAGCCAGTGACGGCGCGTTCGTTTACGCGCTTGATTTTCGAACTTTTTGTCTTTGTAGGTGTTGCATGTATGGATTCTGATCTTCTTGTAGCCTTCAACGACTTCAATTTACATAATTATATATTCAATTGTCTTTTCAATTTTCTCTACAACCACATTTACATTATTTGATCATGTCGATGACATCACATCACGTTTCGACGCCTAGAAATTTCTATTCTTCTTGCTACTCCATCAAAAACTGCATCCATTGTGTTCTTTGAAGGTGTTTTGTTTACCAAAATTTCAAATGCTTCCATAACGTCTCAGACCCTCAGATCGGTGACAAGAAAAGCAGACGTACTTTAATTTCACCATCATGATACATTTTTGAATAAAACAATTCTTCTATGTTTTTAATTGAAAAGATTTTCAACATTTTTGATTTTATTGAAGATTCCTTCGACGTTTGTCATAAATGACGCGAGGATTGAATATTCGTTTAAGTATAACTATTTGGGGTTAAGATGACGATTTTCACTAAGTGAAATTTTGGCACTGAATTTAAGAAACCTACAACAACTCTAACCACATTTTTCAATCGTAAAGTTATTGAATAGCTTTCATTACAATTATAAAAAATAATTTTGGTTAGAGTTAGAACGTATCCCTCTAATACCATGGACGGGTCTCTGTTTTTGCTGCTGGCTGATATATACATATTTGTTATATTAAAAATATAGATAAACATAAAAATAAAATTATTGGTAAACGTTGAATGACATATTTCTCAAAAAATAAATTGCAGACTTTTTGTCGCTTGTACCACGTTTCTGATTACTTTTCCGTTTTGTAGTTTTTCGTTTGGGAGAAATTTTATAAGAAGATAAGCTCAAAACTGCATACTGTATAACTATTTGTAAAAAAACTTTTAAAAACTGATCACATCTACTACTCTAAAATGAATTTTTGTGCTTATGTGCTTATGAGCGTTATTGTCAATGTATGTATGTGGATCTGTTTCCTTGAGTGTATGTAATGTGGTCTGTATATGATAACGTATTTTGTGTGAATGTGTTCACTGCGTTAATTGGTATCAGTTGGTAAATGTGTGTGTGTGCGCGCGCGCGTGTGTGCGTGTATGTAAGAGAAGTCTTGCGCGTGTGAAATTTGTTGCTTATTTTTCAAGTGCTTCTGTTGCAAAATTATTCATTTCAGATCAAAAACTTTTTATCATCTCTTGTACGTTTGTGTAGAATTTCTATGTTCATATATGCCTGCTTTGCTTATATATATATTCTCAACCTACTTATTTTGTGATAAAAAATATTTTCATGTTCTCAATAGAAAAAGCATTTTTGTCAAAAGTTAATTAAAACTTCACACAATAAAATTTCAAACGCTCTCTGATGAATGTAGATTGGTTCATTTGTTACTATATCTGAGCTTGTAAGACCGAAATTATTTTACTTATAAATATTAAATGTGGGCTAAAAATGTCTGTCCATCCACTGGGGAAAAAATAAAATTCAATTAATAAGAAGAAATGTTCACTTTTTTAAATTTTTTATTGGGCTTGTCACGCTGTAGACAAAGACAGAAGTCTGCTATCGTGCTTCATGCTTCATCTGACTTAACATCGGCGCTCCATTGTTTTAGTGTCTTGGCGGAGACGTCCTCCTTGCTCATCATTCGTGGCTCCGAGGTTTGACGGGTAGTAATTTAAGTGGCAATCACGAAAATTCAATTTTACACTCATGTTTGTTATCAGTTTTTAAAAACTTATCAACAACGGATATGATATTTGGAATCAGCACACCGAAACACATAAAGATCACACGTGATATATATTGCAGTCAGAAAAATTGACGTACACTAGTGTAGAACATAAAAAAAATAAATGTAGAACATGATAGAAACATTCATTTCGCGAATCCATAATAAAAAATTCCGACTTTTCTAATGTTCCAATCTTCACAGGTTCATTTGTTTGGTGCTAGGTGCGAGTTCAAATAGTTCCGAATTTTCTTGTGCCGGTCTGTGTGATGCTTTGTAATAATTTAAGAACGTGATGTTATGCTTTTGTAATTGTAATAGATATGATTGTAGATATTGTAACATTTTTTTCAATGGATTTTGTGATTCTTTCATGGATATCATTACGATAGTCATTGTGATATAATATCAAGCTAGTTGATATGATACAAGTTATAATGTAGTTTTAGCTTTACAATACAACGATTATTGTATTTATTAGCATTAAATAGACAGTAGAAATAGACGCAAATAATCATTTTCAGATTGAATGATTTAAAAAATGAAATAATTCTTCACGAAATGTCAGTAAAACGCCCTGAAAATCAATCACATCTTATCGATAGATGTTTGCAAAATATTTCCACAACTCATTCCGACTGCATGCATTCCTCTAAGAGTGAACTGCATTGTGAGCTACGTACATTCCATGTTATTGCAATCATTTTTTGTTTTGGGTTTATTTTTTTGATTGTTTATCATTTTTCTTCTTATCAATTAGTTCATTTTATTCAATCAATCTATCGTATGTTAAATACCTTTATTCAAGTTGATTCGTCATCATCATCATCATCATCATCATCATCATCATCATCATCATCATCATCATCACTATCTTTCCCCTCTTCCTCCTTCTCCCTACTACTCCTCATCGTCCTCAATTTCTCCATCATCATTGCTGTAAGTTATCCACGGTTAACATTATCATTGTCGTCGTCTTCACCATCATCTTCACCATTGTTATCGTATAATCATTGTATAATCACCATCACCAATCATCATTTACTGCATCATCATCATCATCATCATCATCATCATCGTCGTCGTCGTCATCATCATCATCCTGATCATCAATTCATGATATTATTTGAAAGTAAAAACATACTCAAGTCATCCATCCATCTTAGCACAACTATTCCAAGCCCCATATAAAGAATGATAATAATGAGAAAAAAACCATTTGAAAAAAATTATATAAATCAACAGCCAAGAGCTCTGGTTATTTTTTTGCTTTGCTAAGAATAATACAGGATGAATACCAAATTCAATCTTGTACAAACGTATCAAGTTAGTACGTACGTACTAGATGTTAACACATTCAGTGGCGAATCCAGGTGGGGTGGTGCGGGACTGCCTACCCCCACCGCCAGACCATGAAAGAGGAAAATATGAAAGATTCATTTTAAAATATAGTAATAAAATATACGAAAATTAGCTAAAAAGAGTCATTAACTTGAGAATTTCAAAAATCATTTCTCACCGGAATAGGAATAAACGCAAATTACGGATATTATTAAAAGAACTCGTCTGCTTTAGAGTCTTAAAATCATGCCCGCCACCTCAAAAATTCTGGATCCGTCACTGAAATGGGACACTGAGTTTATTTAGATTTCATTTCACAGAGTGGGTATTAACGATTATTATTTTTATTATTATTAATAAATACTACTAGTTTGCGTCCGTGATGTCCATTCCGGTTTATATATAATGTTACCAATTTTTCAACTTTATCGATTAAAAAAGTTAAAAGTTACTCTCTCTCTTTTGCGTTTGCTTCAGAGGTTTCAACAACAAACACACACAGCGTACATGAATACGCGTGCAAACCACGCATCATACACATTGCATATTATAGGCGGGGATCTCTTTGTATTCGAACCTAGTTATTGCAATAGTATGACCAGGCGCGTTTAACCATTGAGCCATCACGCCTATAAAATTGACTATAAAAACTATCTCTGATGAAAATGTGAAGTTATTTAATGATTCACTTTTATTCAAATAATTTTTTTTTGTAAAATTCATTAAAAATGTATTAATTCATAAACTTTTATTGTGATAGTACATTTATATGAAATCTTGTTTCTGAAATTTGCAACTCAAATAAGATTCATTTTTGCGCTTTTTTAACAGTAAAATTGTTACTTAGCAATACTACTAAATATAATCGAGAAATTCTTTTGTGCGATAAAACATGAAAATTGAATTATTTTAATAAAAATTACAGATAATAATATTGTATTTTTTAAGCCAGGTTCATTTGTGCAAAGAATAGAGCTGTAATTGAGAAACATCATTGTGGAATTTGACTGTTGAAGAACAACTGATGGTTTGTGTTGTTGTTTATTGTGTAACTGCGTTTCTGTGTGTGTGTATGTGTGTTTGCTTGTGTGTAAGTATGTGATATGATATAAATTTCGTTCATTTAGGGGAGGTTGGAAAAATTCGTCATGTAATGAGGTTGATTATTGACAGTTTGTTGTTGTTGATGATGCTATGTTTATTGTTCGTTGTTTGTTGTCTCTTTACACGTAAGTTAGTTGCACCTGCTTCGATGTTTGCTGTTTATTTACTTATTTTAAAGTAATTTGATTTTTTTAGCTATTTGTTTTTAAGATATTTTTTGTTTGCTTTCGTCGGTGTTTATTAGATTATTTACATTTGTTTTCGTTACATATTGATTTTATTTTCAATAAATGTTATACAGTAAATAAATTTTATACAGTATTGTATGAATTGTTGGCGTTAATCAATTTAAAATTTGTCTTTTCAACTTTACGTACTAGAATTTCAATTTGTTGAAAATAAAATTATCCAAGTTCATCATGAAAATTGATATATATATATTTACAATATTCTATAAATTCTACCGAATGTTTGGCGTTAATATGTTTGTAGTTCGTTTTTTCGTTCGTTTTGTAGTTCTAACTGAATTGTTGAATCTATGGGATCACTGTGATGTTGATTGCATTGTCAAGAATGAACTAAACTTATGCCGGAAAGAATTTATAAATGCATATATGCAATCATCAAAACTAAAACTTCGAAAAAACGAACTACAAACATATTAACGCCAAACATTCGGTAGAATTTATAGAATATTGTAAAAATTATGGTCTATTACCAGCATATATATATATATATATATATATATATATATATATATATATATATATATATATATATATTAACAAATTTAGTTGAAAAAGGTTACAAAACGCGTCATGAAACGGAAGAGTTTAGAAACAATTGCGGTTATTTTATTTAAACCACGACGATTAATTTTTTAAAATAATAATGGGGGATTACTCTGTAAGATTGTAAACATCTCAGCATTTCTTCACAAAACAAAGCACTCTCAAGGCCATTGACGACTATAAAAATCTAACCACCGCATGATACGCACATTTTGGAAACCGATCTCATTCAAACCATTACAGCTCGCGATAACAACACAAGGAACTGAACTGGACTGAACATCTCCAGTTTCAGTTAACTCGCCAACCAAGTGTCCAACAATGGTATTCAGTAGGTAAGTGAGGTAAACCTATTTTCAGCTGAAACACACATTGCAAATGATAACGCATTATTGGGCAGTCAGTCGTGAATTTATATTACGATTTGGTATTGAACATTGAAACAAAAAATAATTGAAACAAAGTAAGCTTGCGGCATCCACAAACTTTGTTGCGCAAATATTTTTACAGTTTAACTATTGAATTTCAAATGCAAACTTACAAAAAATATTTTACCTGCGAAATTACAAAATTATCTGAAATAAAAACTGAAAAAAAAATTAAAAAATCAAAATTAAGAAAAAAAATTATTCAGAGTCAGAAAAAGAAGAAAAAAACAAAAGAATCAATAAACAAACAACGGAGATTTGTTTAAATTGTAATTTTTCTAAAAAAATGCAACATCTGTGAGCAATTTGCTAAAAAGCAATTACTGAAATGAAATAAAATAATTAGTTTGAAAGTGGCTGAGCCTCGTTAAAAGTTGGTGCAAAATTTCTTTGAATGCAAAACAATTCGGAAATATGACGAACATGTTCTTTCATCAGCGTAAAACATCACATCCGTTCAGTGGCAGATCTTGGAGACCATGGCTCCTCCCATTGTTAGCAGCGTTGTTATTAGAAGTCGGTAAAACTCAGTTTACAGACAGGAATATTTATCATTTTTAGTTTTTAGAGTTAGCATTACGAATTACGCACTAAGATTCATTTCTTTTTGGGGATGTGCCTCTGATTTAAGAGTTAAGCTGGTAGTTTGTTTCTAGACTACAGATTGTGAAAATATAATTAAGACCGACTAACGTAAAAAGGTAAAAAACGTTTATGAAAATAGAGAATTTGCATGAGATTTGTAATATGTACGTATTACGCAACGATCCTAAATCATGTAAGTAGTACACAAATTCCTGTGCCTGAAAATTTATGGATTAGTAATGGAAATCTCGACATTTTGATACATTACTATGTTACCTTGGATCGATAGAAAAGTTATTACATTATATATTGTTATTACGTTATCCTGAATTCAAGTCAAAGCGATAGACAATTCAAAATTCATCTAAATTGGCAGTAAAACTGTAAAACTTTAACATTTTCTAATAACAATTGCAAGTAAAAGATTGGTTTATAAGCTGATAATTCGCATTTTTATGTTGATTAAAGCAAGAACACTGATGCCACCTAGTTTTAAAAATTACTTACTAGTTTATGTAGCTATGACATGCATTAACATAAATCTAAAGAATTTGATGGTGAACAATATAAGGAACAATACAAGTTGTTTTAATTTAAACAGTTGATAAACCAAAAAGATAATGAAAATATAATTAAGACCGAAAATGTTAGAAAGTAATTGTTTATGGAAAGTGAGAATTTGTATGAAAGACGTTTGTTAGTTACATAACGTTCAAAAACCATTTTAGGAAAAGAAAATACTGAAAAAATTACATTAATAACATTATGAAACTGAATAACTGAAAATATTATTATCATAAATTTTTTTCGGTTGGTTATTTGTGATATCTACCAATCAATCGACAAACAAACTCGTTGTTTAATTTTGATTGTTTCGTAATATTTTTTTTTAATTCAGTATAGTTTAATTTGAAAAATTAAACATAACAAAACCAATTTCGGAGAAAGAGAATAGACAATAACTATTTTTTGATAATGAAACACGAAATCTTTTTTGTATGATGATTTCAACTAGGCCCTAGGGAATGCATGTTAGCATTACATAATTGCTTGGTGTTTATTGAAGCACGCTGTCTTGATGAACTTGAGATGTTTTGCTAGAATTACACTCACTACAACTGTTATAAATTGCATGTAATAATTGTAAAGTATTTTTATTTGATTACACATTACACTCTTGTTATCTGAAAATATCTACTACTATATCGTCAGTGTTTCTGTTTTCGTTTAAGTATTTCCTCGTCGGGATGTATTACTTCAAGATAAGTATATAGATAGACACAAAGAGAAACGTTTAGACAGGCACACACACACACACACACATACAAAAAAACATAAATACAAAAATAAAACCTCATATATAGATAAGCGTGGATTTAAAACAACTTTGATAAATTTTTCACCATGATTTTTAATGAGATGTATGTATTGTATTGAGAATGATAATATTTATTTGACTTGATGTTATTATTGTTACAAGGCACATGATCATAAGCTGACAGATGAAGAAGTGGCCGGTTGGTTCTTTGCAATACATATTTTTTTCATTTTAATTTTTAATTAATTACAGATTTCAATAAATATATTGCATTTTTAGTATTTTCAATTGGTTACTGGAGTTTTTTTCAAATTCATGCGAGTGCATCATTAATTATAAAAAATGATTGATTCAAAGGAGAATTATTGTAGTAATTAAATGTGTGGCAAAAGGCTCAATCAATCCATAAAAATATAAAGCACTAAACAAGAGCAGATTTGAAACAATGTAGTAAGTGAATGAGTCATGTAAGCGAAATTGCATTGCGGTAGCGGTTTTTAGAAAAGTCATTAAAACAATAACATACCTGATGAAAAGTAATAAAATTTCCACAATGAATGTAATCCCAAATAAGAAGGATTACATTTGTTTTCTGCCAAGCCAGCACTTCAGCGTTTGAATAAGAAAAGGAAGTCGTAAATGTAAAACATGCACCGGCGCGCTTATCTGCAATAATGGGACTTGCAAACCAGACCTTAATTTTATGAGTATATGATGCTTTTTGTTGGCTGGGAAGCCAGGCTTTGTTTGAGTTATTAGCGCTCAATTATGCACTCTAAATTCAAGTTATATGTTTTCTGATTGAGAATAAATTCGCAAATTATACGCTATAAAATCAATATATATTATTATAGTTATAAAGTATTAAATTATAGTTTTTTTTCATAATACGAGTAGAAAAAATTTAATGGATAATAAGTACCTGACAACGTGTTTAGACGCGGTAAACGCTGCAAGAGTACATTAGCTAGATACGTACTTGTTGTTGGGAGCTTCAAGAAATATTATTCTTCTCATGAAACAAATTATGTATTTTTGTTTTTCTAAAAAATTTTGAAACTAATTCTGGTTTCAAGTTACAAATTTACTAATTGTCTTTTCCAAAGAATATACGCAATTTACGCAATTTGATGATGGTATATTATCTTTTATCTAATTATGTAGTTTGCGTGCGTGCGTGCGTGTGCGTGTGCGTGCGTGCGTGTGTGTGTGTGTGTGTCATACTACGTGGATTCCAAGAGTAATATTTTTTCTTTTTTTATTTTGTAGTTAAACTAATTAATTGGTTTGATTTAGTTTCACAACTTTATAATTATTTGTTTTACCATTTTTAACACCTTCATTTATTTATATTTTAAATTAATGCTTTGTTACTAGTATTTAATTTAATGAAACTGAAATATGCTTTAAATAAATGCAGAATTCCGAGAAGCTTTTAGTCTTTTTGACAAAAATGGTGATGGGACGATAAGTTCGACCGAACTTGGTACCATTATGCGGTCCCTCGGTCAAAATCCGACCGAGTCAGAACTCCAAGATATGATCAATGAAGTGGACGTTGACGGTCCTCGATGGCTTTTTGTTTATTATAAAACCATTAAACATTTTTAGTATGTTAAGAAATTCAACTTTGTATAAATATAAGAAAATAGAGAATGATAAATTTTGGAAAAAATTAAGTTTTGAAATTTTGAAAAGTGACTATCAATAATAGTTTGTTTTGGATTTGAATCATATTCATTCGTTCTTTGTTTGAACTTTGCAAATTGTTATTTGACTAAACAACTGTCGAGAATGTAGAACACGTTGAACCACTGCGCAGGCAATGGAACGATTGATTTTGACGAGTTCCTCGACATGATGGCCAAAAAGATGAAGGAGACAGATAGCGAGGAAGAACTTCGAGAAGCCTTCAGGGTTTTTGACAAGGATGGAAATGGGTTAGTTGCATGACGTGGCGTGAACGTTTTCTTTATATTTGAAAAGATTACAGTATTTTCTTTGGTTTGCGTCCCGATTTTTTCAAAAATAAAGTGACGCAACCTAAACACAAAATATTGTCTTGGGTGGTTTCATAAGTTGTCGTAAAAATCAATATAAAATTGTAATTTTTTCAAAAAAGAGTTTAATGACAAACTCAGTATTAAAAATTTGAACCATATAAAAAGAAATACTTTATTCTCTTAACAACTTTTCAACAATTTTATCAGTTGCAGAATAAAAGTTGAACGTGAAACATTGCAGGTACATCAGCTCGGCAGAACTCCGACACGTGATGACAAATTTGGGCGAGAAGTTGACAGATGAGGAGGTGGACGAGATGATTCGGGAGGCTGATCTGGATGGTGATGGAACCGTCAACTACGAGGGTTTGTTTGTTGGAAGAAATTGTTTCAAAGATTTTTCGGTCAAAATCTTTCGATTCAAGCGGGCTTAGTACCTAAATTTTTTATTCAACAGAGCTTTATGGTAGTTCTATTACAAAATTTTTTTAAATTCTAAATTGAGATATAAAAATGTTTTTTAAATATTTGAAATGTTTATCACCATTTAGAGTTCGTGACGATGATGACAGCAAAGTGAATCCCTTCAAAACTTACGTGTACTCTCATTTATGTGAATTGTCATTCATGTATTCCTAAAACTTGCAATATCCGGACAACATCATTTCTGATATTTAATATAAAAACTTTCCTTTTATGTTCTTGAAATGTTTTCTTTTTATTTTTGGCCGAGTGATACGAAAGAAGCAAAATTTGATGAAATTTTTTGCATGGATTGTGTTGCAGAACCATAATGAATTTATGTTAACCATTTACCAATTTCGAACCAGTGAGAAAGATTTCATTTTAAAGAGTCGCACCCAAATTTCATTAAGTTAACCTGAGACATTTTTATTGTACGTTTGACTTCGTATCTTAACTTCTTCATTTAAAAGATAGATTTAAAATGGTTGTTTTTTTTTATTTAAAAGAATATTTGTGTTATGTATTTTATTCATGATTAATTGTAATTTTTTTTAACCTTTTGATCTTTAATTGTTTTAAACTTAGAAAAATTATTTCAACTGATATTCAGACTTTACGCCAGGTTTCATTTGACATGTAAATTAAAATTTTTGAATGAATTTTGTTAGGCTCTCCTTAATACATGTTGGAGTTTTTTTTCTATTTTTCATTATTTTTTCATCAATCGAATAATTAATTGTACAACTAAATAATGTGTAACTACTGTTGAAACTTTATTTACAAAAATTATTCTTTTGTTGGAAACAAGAGTTTAGAAATGAACGAGTTAAGATTGAAAGTACAATCGATTCACATTTTCAAAATGTGACGTCTAAATATTACACTATAAAGATGAACAAAATTAATTTTCAAAATTAAAAAAAACTGATTGAAAAAGAAATTAATTGAACGTATTCCATACATCACATCAGCGAGGAGAAAGAAAGAGTGGAGGTTATGATATGTAGTTGGGCAGAAATTGTAGGATGAAGTAGGCGATGATCAGGTTGACTGTAACAAGGAAGAGCCAGGACCAAGATGTGTATCTCCGTAACCAGGCTTGCTGTGTTGGTGAGATCAAACAAAATATTAAAAATCATACTTATCTAGAACAACTGTGTAAAGTGAACTAATAAAAAGTTATAAACTGAACTGACATTGTTCGAAAGTTGGGCGACTACCAGCGTCTGCTCAGAGGACGAAGTTTTTGGAACGTTGGTTCTGGGAGGGTTGAATGTTTTGTTAGCAAAGGATGGAGACAAACTTGAGAACGGGGAATTTTTACTAAGACTACTAGTTGGTGTTGGTGTGTTTGTCTTTGGAACTCCTCCGATGAAGATGTCGATGGGGTCTTTGTTGCGTTTCAGTCGGTTCCTCTCGAAAACGTTCATTTGTGGAACGAAGGAAGATACGTTCGTGCTGGTGTCGTCTGATCTCGAGAACTTTGATGATGGAAAGTCAAGATCTGACATGGGAGGTGGATCTCTTGCTGCATTTGAACATTTGGAAAATTAAAACTTTGTTTTGTGAAGAATATGAAAATGTGTTATAAACATTATTAAAATTATTTTGAACAGGTTCGCACTCTAAAAATAATATCAAAAATCATTTTATTAATACTTTTCTTACTTAAATTTCTATTCCTTGACACATTTGAAAACTGTTCGTTCTTTTGCGGAAAATTTTGAAAATTACTTTTATTGGAGGAGGTAACGGGGTTTGAGAGATTTGTTTTGTTGAACGTCTGAATGTTTGGCGAGATGTTGTATGAAGTGAGGTTGCTGCTCGTGGGTTTGTCACAAGCATCACGAGCATCTTGTTTGGAATTGAAAGTTTTTTCATTTTGATCGAATGTTTTGTAACTCGTTTGAGACCTGCTGCTGTCCAACCGCTTAATTGTTGTCTCGTTATTTCTCGACCAAATAGATGGATGACGGAATGAATTGTTTAGTATTTGTTTTATCGGATTATTGGAAGAGCTGTCCTTCTTGGCAAACTGAACGTGGTTCTGTGAGTCTGGATTCCTTTTCTCGTCGGTGTCCGATAAGTTTGATATCGATATCGAGTATCGAATTTGGTTAGGATCGACTGTGCTTAAATCTGAAATCATTCAATCATTTTCAAAGATTTATCTATTTGCGGACTCTACTTCAAATTATAAAATATTTTTTTAAATTTAATTTCCATTATTCGGAATTACGATATTTTTTGACAAGGTTAGAGCATATACCGATATTAGCGTTAGCACTTTTCGTGGATATCTGATGAGCGTTTGCCGAATCCAATCTTGCCTGCTCGGCTGCTACCTCCGCTTGTTCAGCTCTGACTCGTGACATCTTCATCCTTCAAACGTTTCATAAGACAAAATTCTATCGCAAATAATTGGAATAAATAATGATTTTGATGATAAAGATTGAAAAGCTTTATCTGAAAAGTCACTTCTGAGATGTTCAATTAAATGTCTGAGATGTTCTGAGAGGTTCAATTAATATTATCCGTATTTATAATGCGACACTTTTAGTGTATGTTTTTATTGTTCACGTTTAGAATAGATAGAAAAATTAATCCATATTTTGTCAACTAATAATCATTTTTAATTAAAATACTCCTTATTCAAGAGATAAGTTATCTCGTATGATATTTTAAAGATATCTTGAAAAAATTATTTCCAATTGCTGAAAAATGATACTAACTATCTAAGAAAAACACGACAAAAATTGGATAAAAATAAAATAATAAATTGATGAAAATATCAAATGTTTCCGGACGCTGTTTATTAGATAAATGTGAAAATTCATACTTTTTAAATTTTTTTCTCAAATAATTTATGTTCAACTTTTTCTATAAATGCATTTATGATGTCTATTTTTATCACGTAATTACTCAAATTTATAAACAATTTTCATTATAAAAAATTTGTTTACGAAAAAATTTTTTCAGCAAAATAAAATTTTTCAAAAACTTAAGCATTATAAATCATAAATTTGATGTTTTAAAAACCTAACCAGACAGAAATGCAAATAAGAATTGGGTTTCAGTTCAGTTCAAGTAGACAAAAAATATTTGTGATAATTTAAAATAGAATATTGAGTAACACGTGACTAAAACGTGAGAAACATGTTTTAACGAAATTCTATAGGAATGTTGTAACAGTTTTTTTTCTACAAGAAATGTTGCAATATTTTCAGCTATTTGTTAATAGTCAACGTTTAACATAATTTAAAAAAGATTGTTTAAGAAATTAAAATAATCAACGATAAATATGAGGCAAAAATAAGTAAAATGTGTAGAAAGTTTAAAAATGTTTAAAAATCGAAACCAGCCTATTCATAGCAACTTCTGTTTTTTGTATGGCGATCTGGGATGCTTTCGCGGCTTCACTGACTGCTGAATCAATCTGCTCCCTCAGCCTACCTGCTCTCATGGCGAAGATCGAACTTTTCTTATTCGTCATGGCTGCTGAGTTCAATTATTTTAATTACAAAAAATGATAACTAGTAATTTTTTTTTTAAACAAGAGATGTTTATTTGTAGGCTTAATTCCACTGTAGTTAAAAGAATGACTGCTAATGACTTATAAGAACTATGTTGCATTTTTGTAATAGTGAAATCGTTATTGTAAATATTTGTTGGCGTCTGCTTTGCAGGTGTTGTACTGTATAATTGGATTGTTCTGCTTCACCGATGTTTGTATTGTTTACGACGAAATTTTTACTACAAGTCTTGCTACAAATTTTTGCAATATTTAAAAATTCAAACTACGAAGAACTCACCAGCAACGAGAATGTTGTTCTTGTACTTGCCCTCCTCAACTGACCCCTCTGGGAAAATGGTCTGCCCGTAGCCGTTCTTCTTGTTGTTGAACCATTCACCTATGTACTTCAGACCGTCCGAGCGCGAGCAAATTCCGTAGCCGCATCTAATTTGCATAAAATATTACGATCTTATTTGGGCCAGAGGGGAGTCTGATACGAGATTCGTCATTTATTGAAATTAATTAAAATATTCATTTTCCTTCCTAAACTTCAAAAAGTGTTTTATTTTCTAAAGAAAGATTCTAATAACAAAAAAATTTTCACTCTAAAAAGTTTTTTACTCTAAAAATTTTTTTGCTACTCATAAACTTCAAAGCAATTTTATTCAAACAGACTATAAAACATAAACGAAAAATAGCATAAAGAAACGGTTTAAAATATGACAATCTTAATATAACCACTACTGCTGAAATAATAAACAGATGGCGGTACAGAAACCTCTTATCATTCTTCCACTCGCCAGAGTAGCACTCAGTCATGTTGCCGTCGATGACGTCACTCTGACTGACGAAGCTGACTTCAGTTTTGTCGGTGGCTGCCGATTTGTTGGAGTCTGCACTGGCGAGGCTTCTTATGGAGCCGTGTGCCCTTCTTATCGGGGAGCCCGAGGCACTGGCGGGTAGTGATCTAGTGCAGATTATTTTCAACATTTTGATTTGGTCAATTAAAATACTTTATTGAGATATTTTACGGTGTAATAGAATAAATGTTTTAATATATTTACACGCCAACGATAAAGTAAATTGATCTTCGTCATCAATTGTTTGCACTTTTGTGTAAAAAGGGACATTGGACATAAGTATTATCTGATTTTGAAAACATTATTTTTGTTAAATATTTAAAAAACTGTTTAAAACTATTTTATTTAAAATTTTTTTTTAAACTTAAGTCAAATACTTTTAGAAACAACCAATTTTGATGCAATGAAAAATGAAACACAAATCAAGAGCCATATAATAATTTTTTGGAAGAGCACCTATTGTAAATGCCTGTACTTTCACAATATCCATTGCTGTGTGTGTGTTTGTATCTCAAATTCTAGGAATATTCTCTCAAAGAAAAAATACATTAGGAACTCAGTCCCAATCAAGTCAGCACACGTGCCAACAGAGAAGAATAACTATGACAGAATATGCTGCAATGCTGTCCTACTAAGAAGCTCTTTATTATTCTCTTTTATTGTTTGCCTATTGGACAAAGTTTGTGTGATGTGGCAATTATATTTTTTATTTTAACACATTTGAATGTTACAAAAAAAACCGTCAGCCAATCAAAATCTTAAAGTGAAAATTTTGAAATTTCTCATAAGCGATACAATTTAACTACGTTAATTAAATCTTCTCTTGGAATCTTGAAATCTTAGTTAAACCATTTGGAAGAAAAATTTGTAGTTTTTTTGTGTGGTCTTGTTCATTTGATTTTAGCAAAAATTATATCATTATTTAAATTTTTTTGGTTCTGTCAACATTATAGCAATTAAATTACATCACCATGTTTACAAAAACATTTCACAATCAGATGAACAATGGACAAATCATCGTTAATACAATGTTTTTCTCAATCAAATCAAATTTAACAAACATTTATGAACGAATTATCTATAACAGCCAACTAACTTGATGAAATAATTTACTAACTCAGCAACAAATATGTTATCAAAGACTGCAAAGCTATCCTTTCTTGATCAGCCAAAGCAAATACTCTTACAATATAACATGTTACTATTCAAGTTCTCCACGGCCGATTGAAAAATGTCAAAACTCTCTCACCCACATACAATCATTGGTGACACATGTACATTCATGAACGTATTTTTTTAATGTTATCCTGATAAACGCAAGTTTTTTTTTATTTTTTTTTATTAGTCTTTATTATTGCAGCTCTGACATACGCAGAACCACTTACAATGTTACAGATATATTATGTTATCTATATATCTTTTATTATGTTCTTCTTTTCTTCATCTATTTATTTGAAGTAGCCATCTTTTGCCACAAAGGCTGTTTATCCTTTTCACACGACGTACACATGTATTTATGTGCACGCGCAAGCACCGCATCATATACGCTGAGTATATGACAGCCATTGAGATGTTTGACTCAGCGACTATTTGAACCACCGAGCCATCTCGCGCGCCAACATGCGACAACTTACGTCGTCTACCCATTTATCAACCTCGAAAGGATGGACGGCTGGGTTGACCGGGGGTCGGCTACTCGGATGAATCTGTAGAAACTACAGAATTCGAACCCGGGTCGTGGGAGTGGTAGACGGACACGCTAACCACTCGGCCACGAGACCCCTAGAAGTACTTTTGTCGTACAGAATTAAAAATAAAATGAAAACAAATATAATGTAACATATTCACAACAAAAAACACACAATTTTTGTAAGAATTTTTCCAAAATACAAAACTTTTTATTATACAAAAAATTTTCTGGCACATAAATTGTGCAGGAATATTATTTTTTAGTTTTATGTGTTACGTGAGTTGAAACAATTACATACGAATCCCAGTTCCTGCCTTGCGTCACACACACACACAAACACACACACCACACACACCTACACACACGTTCAGGTGAGATGCTTTAATTCATTTTGCGTATGAAGGAAATTTTTTTTGGGAGATCGTTAGTGAAGAATAATGATGAAGTTAGTGAGATCGCTTTTTCACGACATATCGTATCAAATGATTATGTTTGGCTTTCTTATACTCAGAGCTTATCTGATGGAGACGAAATAAATCAACAAGAAATATAAGTTTTATAAAATAATGGTTGACATTAGCTAAATTGTTGTTAGAACAAAAAAACAACAGCCATATACGACATACGTTCTTATTTTCCCCAAAACATCACGAAATAGAAATTTATTTAATTGCCTGAATGATAGAAAACAATCTAAGTAATCAAACAGAAGAAAACATGGAGTTGTTGATCGTGATGTTGTTAATAAGAGTTGAAAAAGATCTGTTAAAACAGTTGTTGAGAGAATTTAATTTTGAGGTTATAATTTTTTTTGTTCATAAAAACGCTAATGTTCAAGTAACAATTTTTTAGTTATTTTACCAGATCCTATCTTTTCACATTTTAAAAATGTTTCAGCGTTTTAACGTTTCAACACAACCTGCTTTGAGTGTATGATTTATTTTGGAAATATTGATATCATCACATTAGTTTGATTGATTATAAAAGCTAACTATAAGATTTAAACAAATTATACTAGGTTTGTCTTAGCACCTTGATGCAGTGCGTGAGTTTGAAAAAGTTTTAAAAAATTTGTAAAAAAAAATGAAATGCCTAAAACTTGTTTTTTGTGCGTATGTGTGTGTATTTGTGTGTGTGTGTGTGTGTGTGTGTGTGTGTGTAAAATAACATTTCAAAATGACAAGTAAATCATATTTTATGTTGACTTGTACATTTTTCTTGAGGGAAGCCAAAATTGCCCTTTGCAACACTTCAACGTCATGACCCATGACCTTGCTTTTGCTTAACCAAGTTTATTTGACTTGTTTCTTTAAAAATATCCTAAAGACTGAGCAAAATTGATGCTTGTGGTGGAAAATTTGACAAACGTTTGGGACCACTGTTTTTTTTTAAATGTCAAATGTGACTCTGCCTAAACAAAATATTGATATGGACAAAAATGTTTTGTATTCATGTCGTGGTCGGTAGTTGATGTTGATATAAACATGGATGCATATTGAGCCAATGGTTGAACTTTTATTTGAAATTTGAGACTGTGGGATGATGATAATAAAAGGGGATAGAAACTCTGCCAGATATAAATAACAAACTGATAAAATGTACATTCTCACCAACAGCATTTTGATATCAACATTAACAGCTCTCAAAATACTATAACATCCACATTTGAAATGATATTTCAAAAAAAATTGTATCACGTAGCGTCATACCGAACGAATGGCGGTGAACAAAGATATTAGCACACCGAACAATCGAGAAAGATAACATCGCTTAAGTAGCCTCACTAAGGATGATTAAGTGTCATTTTAACAAAAATGAAGTTTCTTTCTTATTGAAATAAATTGTAAATTGATAATTTGTGCAAGAGGTGTAAGCATCAATAACGCAGATCAGCAGTTCGCATTGAGTTCTGACTGTAGGAATTTTGTTTCCATTCCCAAATGTTATCGCCATGAAATTTCATATTGAGAATAAAACAGAAATGTTATTTATACTTCATCTTGTGTGTAACTAGATGCACAATTAGTCATTTTAATTGCCAGGCGAGACGGTTTATGTCTTCAAACGTATTCTACATTCTCCACCACTTGCATGCATTATCAAATTAACAGCAAATTACGAGCGTTGAAACGAGTGTGTCGGCTTGAAACGAGCGCGCCAAATAGCTAATAAAATGACCATAAAATGTCTGCTCGTGCATTTAACATGTAGTTAGAGGGGAGACAGTTTTGACATGTTGTAAAATAGATTGGTGGTTGGTCGCATGTACGTTTGAGTGCACGCGTTCGCATGAACACACACACACACACGCACACACACACACATACATACAACACATCATACAGACATTTTTTTTGTACACAAAGGAACAAACACTAAATAAAAGTTAAAATGATAACAAATAGCAGTGTAGTTATAACATAATACTAACTTGAAGAGAAGCAGTGTAATACATGTTTGATAAAATATAACCTTCTCCTTTGAAAGGATGAAGTGCAGTATAAAAAAGAGCTCTCGTACGAAACGTGCTCACCCCACGAAATGCGATTAGAGAAAATGAAGATAAATTCACTTTTAATACACGCATTCCTTTTTATAGTGCGTGCTAGCGCCAGTGCTATGTGCGTGTGTTGTTGTGTTTGTTTGTTTATGAGTTTGTTTATTTATTTATATGTTTGTTTGTGTGTGTCTGTATTAATAATTTTTTATGTATGTATGTGTGTGTGCGTGTTAATCCGTTTCTTTTATTCGGGCTGTACTTTACTGTGACGTTTTGCTTGTGTGTGCAAAAACTGTGCATGCATACATAGGCTACATGATAGCAATGTTTCTAAATTTCTAAAATAGAACGACAAGCTATCAAAATCCCGCCGAATATTAGACGGGTAGTTTGTGAAACTTTCGGCACAAGTGATGAAGAAAAGATATCGACTGGTTGATTTTTCCATTTTAGTCTTAAAAACCTTTCCTTTTTTTGGTTTTGGTTGGCATACGACTTGACGCGCATGTATTAAGAAGATAATAAACCAAACCTTTATGCCTATAAATTTTTTAAATTATAAACCGTTTAACTTTTACTTTTGATTAACCTTCTTAGTTGCAAAATATCAATTATATCGCGTAATTTTTCAGTTTTACAAAATTTTACAAGATAATTTAAAATCTGTTAATAAAAATTATATCATCCAATTTATTCAAATTATTTTTTTTTTGTAAAAAATTGAATTAGTCGTGAAAGCCATAAATTTTTATTTAGAAAAATATCTTCTTTCACTTACCGAAACGTGTTTTTAACATGTCTACTCAACCTCCTCTAATCTTTTCTCTCCCCCCCCCCTCTCTCTTTCTCTTTCTTTCCTCCTCTTTTTCCCCTTCCATCAATTCTTTTAACTATTTTACTTCTTTCAATTCTTCTATATTTTTATTTTATTTCCATTTTCAAATTTATTTTTTGCCATTTTAACAGTTTCACTTCAATAATTATCACTAATAGATTCTAATGTTACTACAAATTAGATTAATTTTAGGCTAATTAGACAAAACCAACTAATGAAAATGATTCTGTCTTTGCAACTGAAATTTCGTCTGTTGATATTGTAAGTACAACAACAACAACGACGACGACAACAACAACAACAACAAAAAAACAACAACAACAACAATAACAACAACAACGAAGTAGACAGTCTATCGAGAAGAATAATATTGCTAATGGTTCGAGAACTTATCTCTTGATTAGGATCATGTTGTTAAAGAAAATAAGGCAGAGAAAATATCTGAAATATGCTTTCTTCTCTACAAGTTGAACGTGTTGTGACAGCTTTAGATACATGAGTTTGCTGAAATTTTCAACTTTTAAGAGTTACAAATTAATGTATATATTTATTTTTTATGATTGATTTATTATTTATTTTCCCATGACTATGATTAACTTGTGATGTATTAAATAGGAGCAGTTTGTGTTCTTTTGACTGTGTGTAGTTCAAAATAGATTCAAATGGAAAATAGATTCAAATGGCTTCTTAACAAGTTGTGCTAATAAACTCTCAAGAACATCACATGGAATTGAAAATATGTACATCGACCATAAAATAAGAAACCCTCCCCAACAGATATGAAACCAGCCAAAAGAACATTTTGAAAAATACGACCATCACCATCATTTGAAATGATGACATCATCATCATCATAAGAATGATGACATCATCATCAGCGGTGACAAGAACGCTAATATCGTTAAGAGAAACACCGTACCATATTCATGTGAGAATAAATAACACCATTAACATCATCATTATCATCGTCAATTTCATCATCATGACTATATACATCTCTAGCATTGTTATCATCGTCATCGTCATTGCCATCATCACCATCGTCTTCATCTTCACCATAATCGCCACGTTCGGAAACATTGACTACAGCAACAACCAATTTCACATTTACATATTTTGCATTATGAAGACGCATGCATTCCAGCGTATGAGGCGGGCAAGGCAAGACATTCAATCAAACAGTTCGTGAATAAGCTTTATTATCTCTTCTGAGAAATCCATAGAAACAACAATCTGTTTGTTGCATTCTCTATGTTGTGGAAGTCTTTGTGTTTATGATAACGAATTTCAAAATTGTGAATATTTCATTCATTCGTTCGTTCGTTCGTTCGTTCGTTCATTCATTCATTCATTCATTCATTCATTCATTCATTCATTCATTCAATCTATCTATTCATCTATTTATTCTTCCATCTATCCATTAATCCATCCATTCTTCCATTCATTCACACTTCCAATAACTCACCAATCCATCCAATAACTCACTAACCCACCCTACCGTCCATCCATTCATCTATCCATCCATCCATCCATCCATCCATCCATCCATCCATCTATCCATCCATCTATCCATCCATCCATCCATCCATCCATCCATCCATTCATATTCAAAATCATCGACGGAGATGGAATTGATGATACTATTTCATGTATCGCTTCTCTCCATTGCATCCTTCCACTGTTGCTTTTGAACTGTCTGTCAGTCGAAAGAGTTTTTCCGCCTCGACTACTCATAAAATTTATAACGAAACCAATTTTAATATTATTATTATTATTATGATTATTATTATGATTATTATGATGATTATTATTTTGAGGTTAGATGGTAATAAAAAGAGTTCCCATTATTATTATGATTATTATTAGATTATTATTATGATTATTATTATTTTGTCACTATGACTATAATCATGATTATGATTAACTTGTTATTTGTGACTTTGATTGCTGAGGCTATGGTTATTATTATTTTTATTATTATTATTGTTAGTTGTAGCAGCAGCAGCAGCAGCAGCAGCAGTAGTGGTGGTTGTAGTAGCAGTGGATGGAGTAGCAACAGGAGTAGAAATAGTAGTAGTAGTAGTTGTAGTAGTAGTAGTATTAGCAGCAGTAGTAGTAGTAGCAGTAGTAGTAGCAACAGTACTAGCAGTAGTAGTAGCAGTAGCAGTAGCAGTAGCACTACTAGTAGTAGTAGTAGTAGTAGTAGTAGTAGTTGTTGTTGTAGTAGTATGAGTTCTAATAGTAATAGTAGTAGTATCGTGGCTAAAGAAAAAAAAATTGTAAACATTTATTCAACGTCATGATGACGTAATGCCTGATGAAAAAGGTCATTAAAATAACAGAAAAAATCTAAAATGATCATCACGTGACACATCTTGCCACGCTCAAATTTTCCACTTTGGCAGACGAGTACACCAATTAAGTTAATGACAAACTGATGGTAATTACACTGATGAGGCAGAGACTGGATTCAAATGCAAAGTGATCCCCGCCTATTATGTACGACGTGTGTGTATATGTATGTGGGTATGTATGTGTGTGTATGTATGTGTGTGGTTTATGTATATTTGTTTGCAGTGTGTTTTTTGTTAACTCATCTGAAAAACACCGGATGAAGAATTGTTTAGAAAAACACAAAAATACACATACTCAAGAATACATACAATGTCACTTATTGTTAATATTTGGGAGATT